GGCTCGGCACAGGCAAACGTGAAGTGTTGCAATTTGTTGGCAGATGGGTCTTTTATTTTATTTTAAATTTTTTTTCTCTCGCCCTGCCTTGACGCTGTTGGCGTGAAACTTTGTCGAGGCGGGTGTCAATACGGATACAAAAGGGACGGCCGAGGGATTGTTCCTTTACAAATAAGGTACATCCAACAACGCACGGCGGGGGCTGGATGCGGCAGGTGATGGCCGCGGTGCAGCAAGTACCAGGCATGTTGCTTAATTGATCATCCGGTGGCGGGAGGTACCTTGCCCGACTAATCACAGGGCGACGACACAACAAAAAAAAGGGTGCGTGCGAGCGAGCGACTAGCCCCGTGCGCGGGTTTAGCACGAAGCAATGCGTGCTGAGAAGCGCTCGGGACAGGCGAGGGAAACGAGGAATGGCAAAGTTTGGGGCAAAAAGAAGGTGAGAGAACAGTTTTATGTATGTATTTTGCCTCGGGAGGTTGAGATATGTACTGTGGCTTGTCAGTGGAAGTCAACGTGCAACACCACTAGTGCCGCTGAGGCCATTGCGTGGTGGGTGCCAAACAATGTGGTGTGGCAAGTGATGTGCGTAAAAAAAGGCAAAAAAAGAAAACGAAATTCTCCTTAGCGGGAAACTTTATACGCCTCACTTTCTTTGGATGCTCCCTTGTTTGGCCATGTATTGCTGCAAGCAGGCAAGCCACCTACCTACTCTGCTATAAGGGACTGGCTGAAACAAATCGGTCTGTTATCTGGACTCGGGGCTCCGCGCGTGCGAGTACATGCTAACGGCTAGTTTGTATAAAAAAGGAAGAAAAAAACACATCTCTTCTTTTTTTTAGTAGGTGCGAGTAGGCAAAGTTGTACTGTACTGTACAATAGTGAGGTATGAATAGAGTACAAGTCAAGGGATTCTCTCGGATTCTTCTCCTCACCCTCGTCCCCTCGTCCGACGCGTCTAGCCTTCTCCAAAGGTCGCCGGAATCAAAGTACCTTGTATCTTGTATCTTGTACCGAGTACCGGTGCCTCTAGCGCCCTTGCGCTGGCTGCATTATTTTTTCCCGGCTGTCTTTCCTGTTGAAATCACAGACAGCACACAGTTTTATTGTCCTCGAATTGACTTTGCCATCCGTTTTCTTCTTCCTTCAACTCTCCAACCCGGCCAACTACTCTTCACCTCGTCTTTCAATTCCAAGGATTTCGTGCCTCGCCTCAATCTTGTTCTATCTCGCGGCCCTTCGCACAGAGCCAGACGAAAAAAACCCTTCGCCGTCTCTGAGTCCATCGGATATCAGCCGCGGCATTTGCCAAGGTATGTGGGCAAAAGAGGGCCCCCCCCCCCCTCGGTCGCCGTTCCGTCTTGTTCTGCTTCTCCAAAAAGACCACAAAAAAAAGAAGAAAGAAAGAAAAACCTCCAGTCGTGGTGCTGGATTCCCCTCCCATCCCCCTCCCATGCCCCAGCCTGCCCGCCAGAACCCTTACCTGCACCGCACCAGAGCTGCCCGTACCCATTCTGCTAGGCAGGATCCCAACCCAGTTCCCTTTTGCTGCTTCTGGTTTCGCATCACGTTGCCTCGATTCCTATTCTCGGTTTTCTGTTTGCGGCCCTCGCGATACCGCTTCATGGCGCTGCTGTGGCCCCACTCGCCACCGGCCTGCTCTCGCGTTCTCGCCGTTGCTGCATCTCCCAACGGGCACTACGAGCGCCTTGTACTCGGTACATGCTCTTGTACATGTACAGGTACTCGCACCGCAGCGCACTGCACTGCACTGCACTGCTTTGGCTGCACTGCGACGGCCCACTTTTGTGTTTTTGGCACCCTGGCAAAGGCGCTTGTTGCCACTCCACCACCCCTCCCCCCTGCTAGCGTTTTTCTCACACCCACGCTTTTTGGCACTTATTTTTTTTTTCTCTCGTCGCTCTCCCACGGAAGTTACTTTTGCCTTTGTGACCCTACCTGACAGTTTTCTCTCTCTCCAGGATAAAATAGGAACGAGACCCAGTTCTCCACCCCACTCCAACTGTTCCCTACCTAACCAACTTTCTCTTTGAGGGACCTGTTATACTCTGAGCCTCACCTCCACCTTCCCCAGAACGCCGCAGCCCTTTCGCAACATCGCGCGTGGGCCTCGTTGAACGATTGTAAACTTGTCTTTACAGTTTTCATCTTCATCCTCGAGTTACTGCATCCTTTTTGGTCTCGTCGGCTACTCTCCGGCCAATTGCTCAGTTTCAACGTCGCAGCCTTCTTCCCGGCCGCCGCCTGTTGAACCTGCTGTCTCTGTCTCCCTCGCGATAGCAAAACAAAAACACACGGTTTGCTCTCGACGCGTCTTTGCGCAAAGCATCATGGACAACCCTCAGTACCCGAGCAATGGCGTCCCGACGTCTGCGGCCCAAACATACCCGTCGCCTACTGCCATCTCGCCTCACCAGCTTCAGACTGGCTCTCCTCTGCCGCAGACGCTCCCTCCTCTGCAGCCTCATACCGTTGCGATGCAGCCGTTGTACGGAAGCCACCCGCATACACCGCGAACTCCCGGCACTCCCAACACGCCGACCCAAAACAACCTTCCTAGCTACCAGCAGACCTCGCAGCCTGGTCACCGCCCTGCCGTTTACTCCATGGCCCAGAACCCGTACCCTCACCAGGGCTATGCCACTTCTGCTGGCATGATGCCTCAAGCCACCGCAGCGGTCTCTCACCCTCAGCCAATTGCTCCTGCGCCGGTTGGCGGACGTGGTCCTCCCGTCCTTCGCCCCATGCCTCCGGGTGGCCTCATAGGCCAGCCTGGCGTGGCTTCGCCTTACGGCCCCGGCTCGCTGATGCAGCCCAACTCCCTCATCCAGGACGGCGAGCAGCCGACCCACGTCGTTGGATCTCAGGGACGTCGTGGAATCTTGCCCAGCGCTCCCGGACGGCCTACTGCTCAGGCTGCGGGAACAGGCGCAAAGAACACCGTCATCCCTGTCAAGGACGCAGACGGGAAATTCCCCTGCCCTCACTGCACCAAGACGTATTTGCACGCCAAGCACTTGAAGCGTCACCTGCTCCGCCGTGAGTACCTCCCAAACCCTCCTTTCGCAACTTGGTGAAGAAGAAAGGGAAGGAAAAGAATGAAGAGTAAAGTAAAAAAAGATGCTAACCAAGTCTCGTTTTTCTTTTAGACACCGGTGATCGCCCCTACATGTGTGTCCTCTGCCGGGACACCTTCTCCCGAAGCGACATTCTCAAGCGTCACTTCCAGAAGTGCTCCATTCGCCGTGGCAACCCCACCGGCGCTAGCCACCTGTCTCACCCCCAGGCTCATGTGAAGAAGAATGCCCAGGCTCAGCAGAAGGCTGCTCTTGAAAACGGAGGAGATCTGAACCACTTGAATGGACTCGGTAACATGACAGGAAACAACATTGTCCACCCCTTTGGCATTGTCTCCGTTCAGGATGGAATGAACAGCATGGGAGGTGATCAGAGCCAGCTCTCCAGGTCGAGCAGCATGGGTAGAATTGATGGCGATGCAGACCGGAGGAACATGGCTGGTCCTGTAATGGGTGGCTCGCAGCAGTATGGCGGCGACGTCTCTAGCTCCATGACCAATCAACAGATGCCCAACTACAGTATGCCTCCTGGCCAGAATGGTATTCCCATGTACGGCGGTTCCAACCCGAACCAACAACCGGGCCTTGACTGGTCTCAGGTCTTCCAGGCTGGTGCGCACTCAACCCCAATCCATCCATCTCTACTACCAGCCCCTAATCACGGACAGTCACAGACCGGAACCAAGGTCGAGCCTAATCACCGGGGGTAGCTGTTGCGCTTCCAGATGGATCTCACGCCAACCAATTGGACTATATGAAATCATTTGACACTCCCGGCGCAACTCAATTCGCCATTTAGCCCTTTGGCTGTTCTGGCAGCTGTATGGCAGGAATGGAGGCAACCAAGCTACATGCTTTTTCTGCCTCTTGCTCCGATACTTTTCGCCGGAGAATTAAATATCCTTGTCCAGGTTCCCCGCCCGTATCCGGCTTGTACTACTGGCCAATACTAGCGCCGGTGCTATACAACCCAACTGGCTATGAAAACGGTGTTTCGGAGTCCGCAGTTTGATGTCAAAAGATGCGGTATAGTCCTGCTGATGCGGCAGAGATTGTTGGAATCATCCATGCTGCGTATCAATTTGATACAATTCTTTTCGTTTTGTCGACAGGGGGGAAAATCGAGAAATGGGGTCAAGAAAATCCGATGAAAAAAAAAACCGCAGGGTGGTTTGCATCCAATGGAGTTAAGAGTTTTGGTTTCGATCGTATGATCTGTTTTTTTTTTCTGTTTTTTTTTCTTTTTCCCCTTTTCGTTTTCTTTATGTCTTGCATTTTTTCTTTTTCAAAAAAAAACACAAACGACGGGATCGCGGATATAGGCAACTTTATGCGCGACAAATCCATTCGGCTTACCATGCATGCATGCATGAGGGCTCGGCATAGGTGGCGTCTTTGTGGTCTTTGTTTGTGTCGCTATTTGCATTTCAGTACGGATAGAGAGGGTGGAGTTGAGTTCTTTTAGACTTCGATCCGACATAGAGAGGGGGTTTCCGGCCGGCTTTGGCAGTTTTCCTGGTACGCCGTCATGATTTCGTGGCTTAGGCTACATAATGAGTATCGCTTTGTGCTACGTGCCTGGTGATATGAAGAATGGCAGAGAAAAAACAAAATGGGATGGAATGGATGGAGGGAGAGGAGGATGAAAGGGGAAACATGCGAAAAATGTACAGATTAGTAAAAGAATAGCCCAATGGTACAGTCAGGTAGCTGAGAGAACAGAACGCGAGTGATGGGCAATAGACTGGGCTTTTCACAACCTTGGGTTATCATCATATACTGTTTCGTGATTGATGCTCCTTGTCATGCTTGATAATGCAGACCTAGGTATACACGAGATGTTGAACGTGTCATCTCTGGAATTTGCCCTCGAAATTGCAGTTTGCCACCCCTCTCGTGTCACCTCTGGCTCTTGTCCACAGTGGTGATTTTGGGTGTCATGTTGCGCAGCTCAGCCTTATCCTCCTCGGTCGGCGTAAATCCAAGCTTCTCCTCGGCTTTGTCAGATAGATACAATCCCAAGCCGCCCCATGCGATGATGGCGACGCCGACGCCCAGCCGAGTTTTGGGTGTGAGGTTGTTGTAGGCCCTGTTTTCGTGAAAGAGATATGATGGAATGAGTAAGTCTCTTGAGTTGGAGACATGGGGAGGGGAGATGGATGTATGGGTGTTTGAGCTGACTTGAACATTTTAAAAGATGGCGAATGATGGTGGTGAATGTTGGAGCCTTGTGATTCGAATTCAAGTTGAAAGGTGTCGCTGGAGGGGCTGAAGGTGATTCTCGTTGAATATTGGACGAAATTCCACTGGTATATTAACGTTATTCTGATGGCGGCTCTTTGCGACGTGAGATGTGGTTGTCATCTGTAGTTCAGACTGAGATGGAGATATTGATGACATGAGGTTTTTCTCCCCACTGTCTGACGAGAATTAGTTTGAGTATGCGGATGGGGAGAAGTAGTCTCCTAACGGCTAAGTGGCAAAATCTGCCTATTTCGTGTTAAGGCTGTACTTGCGCTTTTCTTCAAGGTCTACCTACCTACCTAGTACTAACCTGTTGATGACTCTACTACTTGATGAACGCTGTTTAGGATGTGATACAGCAAAGATAGATTCATATATATTGCTCTTGGGCGAATTCTCTAGAGTAATTTGCGTTATCCAATCCATGCTTCTGAACTGTTGCATTAGTGAAGAGTTGTAAACGAGGTCGTCCATGTCCAGGCAGGATTGTGACGCCTTTCGATATGGCCACTCACACATTAGCGTACGGTAGCTGATGTCTAACTCGCTGCACGGCATGTAACTTGAACTAAGAGAAATTTTCTTCACATGTGTTGACGAAACAAAGACGCTGTTTGATCAGTATGCGCTCGTTGGAATAGCCGATGAGCTCCAGAGCCTCCCCATCTCTGCTCGCATGGGTGAAAATAAATCGTGATAGGCCATGAGACGCAGCTCAGAGTACGACATCTCCTCGGCTTTACATAGTTATTTTGGGAGCGACTATCTAACGAACTAATTGCGGAGGATAACCGTTTATACACTGCTCTTACTACTACCTGGGTACTGGATACTCGATTCCTTGAGTATGTTAGGTACTTTCAGCCGCCATCCTTGTATCGGTCTGTATATAGTGTCATTGATAAGGTAGCTTAACATATGAAACATGGGATCATCTAGCTAGTCCTTTTATCGAGTACCTATTGGGTGGGTATACATCGTCATTGACAGCAACACTCTTCAATCTTATTACTAGAATACGCATATACTATATATATATGCTGCTGTGTTGAGGGAGCATCTCTAAGCATACATAGTCATCAATCCTCGCGGGGAAAAGAGGGCATAGACAGCCAATTCGACGCATGTACGAAGATATTGATAATCTCAACATAACAAAGCCGGATTCGTAGCCTTGCTATGTATTGTTCCTGCGTCAGCTAGCGCAGAGGCTGCCATCATTGATGGTTCCAACATCACCACGTACACTAACCGCAATAGTCACCAATTTAAGGGAAGCAAGGGAGAGGAAAGGTTCGGTACTCAAGAAATAGACTAGCTTTGCCGCAAGAACTACCTAGTACCTAATAAAAGGCAAGGGAAGAATGCCACTGCCATAAGAAGACTCAGCGGGAAAAGGCCAAGGGAAAGAGAAAAAGCTCAGCTGGCCTAGACTCAGATCAAGATGAATCATATTTCGGGAAATCCCCCTTTTCAGTTTTTTCTTTTCTTGAATTGTTTCCCCTTGGCCTGAAAGCTCAAATACGGAGCCACGACTAAGCTTACGAGAGAGAGAGCAACCGCCTCCCTGGCCAAGATGCTGGTATTGTTTCAACTAGGACACATTTAGTTCCCGCGGTGAAATTGACCTATGTAATGGGTGATCACATGTACAGGGCCCTCTTATTGCGACTTCGAAAAAGAAGAAACAAGAGAGTGAGAGAATCGCTCGGGGTGAGTGGCCTCCAGCTGAAAAAATCTTAGCATGCTGACTTGTACAAAACCAAATTACCGACCCCTTGGCGCTACCACACTTGCGCTTGCAGCCGGATAGATGGGGATGAACGAAAATAAAGAAGGGGTATGAGATGAGCAGATACACTATTTCGTAGGCTAGACATTAATTACGGGATTGGATCCGATCTGGTGGAATTACCCATACGTGGTACCTTGCATGATGAGGACATGGGACATGGGACATTGGGGGGGGGGTTTGGTTCTTCTTTATTGTGATGCAGGTGCGCGCCTCATCACCCCTTTTTTTCATTAAGCCGGGTAAAGACAATGCAGTGAGAGAGAACAGCGCTGCCGTCACACAGACGTGAAGATGGACATCCATGTTCGGTTGCTTGCTTGGGACAATTGGCGCAGTGTAGCCTCATATGTATGCGCGTCTTCCAAAGCAGTAAAGGATCAATCTCGCTGTTGGAAACATACGAGTATGCCACCATGTAGCGTACAAGGATCCAGTCCAGCGCAGGTTGTCACGGCCAACACAACACAGCCCGCGAATTGAATCGAGTTCAGGTTGCCTTGCTCGGGGCTTATTGTCCTCGCCAATCGAACACAATGGCAATAGATAGCCCCGGGTCCTGATTTATTGACTTTGACGGGTCCCACAAAGGTCGAAAGTTAGCAGCATCTCAGGAACATGGATCCAGGGCCATGCTTTGCCGCCCTCTAGCAGCCCTATATTGCCCACGTTACACTCTGATTCAATTGCCCGTCCCATAATTAATTCCAATTAGCACGCCTCCGTAGCAATCTTGGTGGGCGATCGGTTTTAAAACGGACGGCTCTCCCTGCAGTGCGACGTCAGTATCACCCGAATAGATGCGCTAAATCGTTTGATGTTAAGCAGGGGGAGGGGGGGCCGAGAAACGGGAGACGAGGAGAGGCTGGCGCTGTCCATGGTCTGGGGGGAGGGAATCGGAAAGGGCGAAAGCGGGAACGCTGAGAGCTTGCGGCCGTTGGATCACGAATGAATGAGGCGAGAGGCGTCGCTGGCAGCGATGAGCAGCTCGTATTTCGTCTCGAACTCAAGGGGTGCGACAAGTCTCACTTGAGTGGACATGCGCGTTTGTTTGTGAATCATCGTATATGAGGTAGACCCGAGATGTATATGTATCTTCTTTGTGGGGATTGATGCCGGCCAAGTAGTACCTAATGTACTGTACGAGTATACGAGTATACATTCATACGTACGATTTCCGTCTCTCTGCGTCTCTCTCAGTGAGTGATCAAATCTCATTATCCATGACAACATGAATACGAAGCGTGTGACAGCCCTCGTAGAAGAGGGGAAACCGCAATCCCCCCGCTCCCGATGGAAATTTGCTGGTTTGATCAGACAGAGACAATCCGACCTTGTTCATGTGGACGACGCTGGACGCCGTGATTGGCAGCAAAGGGTATCCGTACAGGCAGCATGGAGGGCATGCCAGGGGAGGCTGGCAATCACCGTTGCACGACATCAAAATGGTACGAGTATTGTAGTAGTAGTGGTGGTTGGCGACAGGGTACATACATAACAGTAGAAGAGAAAAGTCAATGGGTGCGGAGACGGGACGAGGCTGAGTACTAATGTACCATGACGGTGACGGTGACGGTGCACGACGGGTGCACGCACTCTGTCTCAGCAGGGCCGCCAAGTATGTGCGAGCATGCATGTGCACGAAACAACAACAAACAACACGGTCGATGAATTAGTACGGAGGCGAAACTGATCTGACGATGTCCGAATTGTTGAGACCGACAGCGACCGGGAATGTAGCGGGATAGGTAAGGCACCTGTCTACTAAGATAGCTGAGATACTGTACAGTACACTGGATGAACGAACAATGACGGTTGGAACCACCCACTCGCTTGAGCTGTACCTGGCCTGGGCTGGCAAATGGCGCCGGCGCCGCCTCAAGCCGGGTGGTCTTAGGCAGCCGAGGCGATCCAATCGCACGCTCAGAAGGATTTTCACTCCACGTCTCCAGTCGTCTCTTGATGCTGGAAGCGTAATGGCCAGAGGGAACTAGCAGGCCGGTTTGACAACCCTCTGGGCCAGATCCGGAGCCGCGAAGTTGCAGGGGCCGAGCCCGGGTTTGGAGGAGGTCCAAGGTGTGCTGTGCCGGTGCTGTGCTCCAGTGCTGTTGCTGTGCTGCGCTGGCTTTTTAGCGGGTTTCCTCCCCCCCAGTCCTGGTCAGAGCTCCACTGCAGTCTTTTCCAGCATCACTAATGGACGCCGTCAGCACCTGAAGGACTGGAAGGGTGAACTCGGCTCTCACAAACTCTTTGTCCTTTGCAAACCTCCAACCACAGTCGGCTTCATCAGTTCCTGGTGGCAGCGTCGACATCCGGGCTGGCTGATGCTCTCCTCACCCTCCTCTCCTCTCCTCTCGGTGCTTTCCTTCCCCTTCTCCCTTCTTCTCCCTCTTCCTCTTCTCCCCCCCCCAGGCGCGGTGACGGTGACGGTCAAGGTGACGGTCCTGCCCTGAACGGCCGAGAGAGGCCCCTCCAACCCTTTTTCGACCGACCCCTTTCGACCGCAGCCATGCAGCGCGTTTCTGCTTTCCTGCCCTCGTGGGAAAAGAGGAACTCTGGCGGTTCCAGGACCGGCAGCGTCTTCGGCTGGCCCAACAGGTCGTCACAGCCTCCGCCCCCCAATGGCCTGTCCAAGATCAACACCGACGCCGCCAATATGCAGGTCAAGCGGGTTCAGCGGGAAGCTTTTTGGCCCGCGACGCTGGACCTCGAGAGCGACAAAGCAGCCCGCATCCTCAAGTCCTTTTGCGGTATGTTGGTGCCTCTTCATTTGCGAGACTCTTGATGCTCAAGTGACCCATTAGCAAATTGAGGATTCAATGCTAATCCTGGAGCTCACATAGTGGACGGCTACTTCGCCCCTATCGACGACGTGCCGGCGTCTCCGTCTTCTACCTCGACGGGCGTCAGGACCCTGGATCAAGTTCCCAAGAAGATCCCAAAGCGAATAATACAGAATGCTGCCGCCATTGCCGTCTTTACGTGCATGCGCAGCGGCTTGTGGATGACCGGCTCGGGCGGCTCAGGCATCCTGATTGCCAGAAAGTCGGACGGCACTTGGTCTCCGCCTTCAGGCATCATGCTTCACACCCCAACCCTCAGCTTCATCATCGGAGTCGACGTCTACGACTGCGTCCTGGTCATTAGCAGTCTTTCTGCGCTTGAATCCGTCTCCAGGCCGCGAGTGACGCTTGGCGAGGATGTCGAGCTGCGGACGGGAGAGACCGTCTCAATTGGCTCTGATGAATCCGAGGTCAATTGGAGAGATCTGGGCAACACCGTGCTGACTTACATGAAAGCGCGAGGCCAGCAGCAATCAGTCAACCTGTACGGATGCATGCTGTCTGAGCGCAGCAACGAAAACGACCGCTTCTACGGCTCCACTGACATCACTCACATGGACATCCTTGCTGGAAATGTCGCTCGAGGTGTCGAAGAGACGACTTCTCTGAACGAAGTCCTCAAAATGGCCGAGGGAAGAACCGACTACGACAATGCCGTCATCAACAGGGTTGCTGCGGAGCCTGCGCCGAGTGACGCTTTGATCACTACAAGCCCTCCCAAAGCAGTGTCGATGCCCGCTTCTCCTCACACTTCGTTTGGTATCCCCCAGGCGGATGACCCGGATCCCTTTGGTGTCCTGGCGCTGGAAATGGCGGGTCTGGAGATCCGTGAGGCTGGCTCTCGCATTCGACCGACAAGTAGCTTGTTCGACATGAACCAAGCTCCCATGAGCCCAACTGTTGCGTCCAAGTTCAGCCGGCAGAGCATGGATACCTTTGTATCAAGAAGCAACCGGAACAGCTACGTGTCAATGCGCACCATCCGGAGCCAGGTGACCGATGCCGGCACCCAGACTGACGTGGGCAACACACCGGCGACGTCTCCCAGCCCGGGCCCCAGCGGCGGCAGCGGGCGGGCTTCTCCAGCCTATATCGAGTCTGTAAAGGAAGAGGAGGAGGAAGATGACGAAGCGGAGAGTGTAAGAAAGGAAGATGATGAAGATGAAGATGAAGAGGAGGAAGAGGAGGAAGAAGAGCCGGTGCTGGCAAAAGCCGTCGCCCATAGGCTCTCTAAAGACGTGTCCGTCGGCCCCGACTTTGCAGACGAATCAGAGCTAAGCGACGACGATGCCATTTCCCTCTCAGAAAGCCTTCGCCGTGAAGAAGATGCGATGAGCCACGACGAATCAAGCGAAGAAGAAGGGCTCTATGAGGATGAGGAAGATGACAGCGACGACGACGACGACGACGACGACGACATGCATGATGCCGATGAAGACGATGACATTGAGGAAGAAGAACCCGTCGTCTTCGAGGTCGCTGCGGTGCAGCGAACTAGCACGCAGGCCCTCTCCTCTCGCATGATCCAAGCTCGGGGCAACGTTGTGACAATCGCCAAGAGAGTACCCCCACCTCTGCCAACGCGTAGCCCTGCCAGGATGTCCCGCATTGCCAACAAGGACGCCACTGGCGACGAGCTCAACTTGCAGAGCCCCCTTAGCCAGACATTCAGCAGCGATGGCGATATGGACGGTGAAGAAGCCAATGCCGACAAGATCGACGCAGTGGCAGCGACGGAGCAGGAAGAGCAGGAGGCTGAGCACTCCGGGAGCGATGAGAGCGATGAGAGCGATGCCGCAGAAGAGCTCCAGCACAAAACCCTGGCCCTGGCTTCAGAGGAGAAGGTGTCCAGCTCCGACGAGTCCAGTGCCGACGAGGCCGACTTGGAGGAACGCAAGCAAGACGACGCTCTGTTGAACGAACCCCACAACGAGCAGATTGACAACTCGGACGCCGCATCAAACAAGAAGAAGCACACCTCATCCATCTACACTGGCGTGACTGAGGACCGTTGGAGCGATAATGGATCCTCCGTCACTACGCCCACCTCTGAGCAGAGATTCTCTCTAATGGAGGAGAAGATTGTTGATGATACCCCCAAGAAAACGATTCAAGAAGCAAAGGAAGTTGATGATTCTCCCTCTGCACCCACCGAAACTGCCCACAGCCCGGCGGTGGCAGTGGCAAACTAAACAACGAGACAACTCGAACACGCGACACGACGACAAACAGACAGCATTCATTACCCAGCAGCCAAGAGGACGGTTTACACGAAATTATTATATTCCCTTCGCGCTCTCATTTGACTATTTCTTTACTCGTTTTGTTCTTTTCCCATTTATGGATATCGACTAATAATTGGCGTGCGGATCTTTACTGGGATAAAGCTCTTTATATCACATCGAGATATATGGGCGGCGCTGTCGGCTTCGAGAATGAAGTGCTTGCTTGGAACTACTTTTGGTGAAGAAAAATCTAGTGGCGTTTGGAGACTTGGGCATTGTGCTTTTTTTTTTTCACATAGATACAGGGCGCCCTTTTTGCGATAGCATGGAGCGATGACGGGGGTTAACCGCAGTTGCAGAGGTTGTGACGGGGAAACATTTCTGGTGTATGATATGACCGCTAGGGGGAGAGGGAACCATCGATAACGAGGCAAATGATGTCGCAAACAGGATACTGCGTACGCGGCAACGGATATTTCTTCTTTTTCTCTTTGGTTTTGGGATCCGTATTTCTGCTCTTTTAGTAATTCTAATCGAGGGGAGGGAGAGGCTATCAAGCTTTGTCCCTTCAGAAAAAAAAAAGACCTTCCATGACTTGGACTCTGTTCGTATGTTCTCGTGATCAACTCGAACCTGTTTAACCTTTGTAAATCTTTGTAAGGCTATGTGTATGTGTAGGTATAAAAGATTTCTGGAGATCTGAAGCAGTATGAATCAGTATAGAGAGCGAGAGAGCCATGCAGCTGTCACTGAGTATGAAAGAGTCAGAGAGGCGGGCCGGCCATGGGTCTGGCAGCTGGCAGCAGGAGTTATAAGAGCGAGAGAAATCTTGCGTTTATTTTCTCTCTCTTTTACAAACGAGCACTCTGATCTCTTCTTCCTTTTCTTCAAGAGTTCTCCTTGATTTCATTTCACTTCTTCGTTATTCGACCCAACTGTTGTCATGTGCGAAATGCTATAGCATACCTAGGTATTAAAGAGAGCAAAAGACGGAATAGACGATGGACGTCTCACAGAGCATAACGAGAAACCAGCGGCAGATTCACACCAAAGTTGCGTCTGAATTTCAACCCGAGACTCATCGAGACAACGGCATCCAGAGCCTGTCCGGCAGCGCTGGTTGCACCGCCACAAACCTTCCCACCAGCAGCGCCACATCCACGCCTGGTCCAGCGCCTGCGCCACACCGCTACGGTTTGCGCGTGCCAAGAGCATCTCGAGGCTCGTTTTCGACTCCCTCGCGTTGTCGTCGCACGGCTCAACAGCAACACGCCCAGCATCTCTCGACGCCCACCAAGACGAGCGGCAGCGGCGCAGCGGCAATTCGCACGGGCTCTCCGCTCAGCTACAGCATCGGCCACTAGAAGCGCGATTCTTTGCGGCAGCGGCGGCAGAATCACCCCGGCAGGGCGAACAATAACGGCTGCAGCAACTCTGCGAATACTACCGGCAGCAACATCGACCACGGTCACAGCCGCGATTACAACCACAACAACAGTTTGCTCGCAATGGCCAGCGGGGGGAAATGGCGCGAGGAGCAGATCCTCATCATCTGCCCCGGCAGCAGAACCACCATGGCCCAGCTGGGCTGCGGCGAGCTGTCGCCTCCGGCTCATCGCATCCCCACGAGGATGTTCAGGGACGACGAGGACCCAGAGCAGTGGCGGCCGTATTACACGTACAAGCGCACCAGGGTCATTGACGGCGTGGAGAACGAGGAGTGGGTGGAGGATGTAGACGAAGACAAGGATGCCGTATGGCCAATTGAGGGTATGTCAGATGGAGGAACAAACACTGAAGTTTGAAAAGAAGAATGAAGAGAGAGAGAGAGAGAGAGACGAGATTATGGGCTAATGCTTTGTGTTTGTAGGTGGTCGCATCGTCCAGATGGATGCTTTTCTCGCCTTCCTCGACCACGTCCACGGCCTGCTCACCACGACATACCACAACACCCCCATCATGCTCATGGCATCCCCCCAGTGGACGCGGCCCGACTGCGAGACCATTGCGCGCTACATCTTCGAGAAGACAAAGACGCCCGCGCTCTGCCTCATCCACAGCGGCATCGCCACCCAGTACGGGCTCAAGTGGCCCAACATGACCGTCATCGATATTGGCTACGAAAAGGTCGACGTCACGGCCATCCACGACGGGCGTGTCATCAACCACATGGACCTGGGCAGCCCGCAACCCGACCGGCACATCAGCGGAGGAGAGGTATTTACGCGGAAACTACAGGAGCTTCTGAAGAGCAAAAACTTCAATCACGACATGGCGGAACAGCTGAAGAAGAGCGGCATCTGCGAGGTGCTGCCTTACGCCCCCGCTCTGAAAGGCCTCGTGGAGCTTCCTGCCGAGTCTTCTTCCCATCCATCACAGTCCCAGTCGCGCCCAGCAGCAAGCGCAGCGGCAGAACAGGCTACTACGGCAGTAGAACCAACAGCTGCGGTTTCTACAGACGTACCACGGATCAACGAGCCGTCCGACGTCGTCATGGAGGAGAACGAAGGCGTCGAGACTAACGTTGATGATGATGGCGTCCTGGATGTCGCCAGCATCGTCACCAGCGGCCAGACTAAGGAGTTCCTTGCCAAGAAGGAAAAGGAAAAGGAAAAGGGCAAGCCCGGGCGAAAGTCTAACAAGGAGAAGGAAGCCGAGGCGGCAGCCCAAGCAAGGCCCGTTCGACAGCCCAACTCCAAAAAGATGCGCAACACGTTCTCATACGAGGAGATTGTCATGGAGGAAGTCCACAAAGAGGTGCCGGCTCCCGTATCTGTGCCTCCTATCCATATGCAGGGCGTGGAGGGTAGCAATGGTGGAGAGGCTCCCGCCTCAGAGCCCGCACCAGAGCCCGCACCAGAGCTCGCACCGCAAGGAACGGAGGCAGATGCAGATGCTAAACCCCCAGCTCCCGTAGGGACCGACGACGTACCTCCTTCAGAACCCCTTGTCAAGACCGAGGAATCAAAAGTCAATGGCGATGGCAATGGCAACGAAACTACTACGGACTCCAAGCCGGCCGAGGTTGTCAACGGGAACCAAACCAACGCCGACACTGACAACGCCGAGCCCCCTGAGCTCCGGCCCAGGCGAATCCGCCGCGACATCGAAATCGGCCTGGAGCGCTTCCTCTTCGCCGACCGCGACGAGATCGACCGCATCGTCAGCACCATCTACCGCACCATCCAGGGCGTCGAGGACATGTACATGCGCCCGGCCTGCTGGGACAACCTCGTCTTCGTCGGCAACGGCTCGCGGCTGCGCGGCCTCAAGGACAACATCCTGCAGACGCTCAGCGCGCGGCACCTCATCTCGCCGTCCACGGCCACCATGTTCACGTCGGAGCTGCCGTCCAACGTCGCCACGCCCGCCGGCACCGGCTCGCAGACGCCCATCGGCTCCTTCAACGGAGCGCCGCACCAGCTGTCCAGCAGCGGCGTCAACCCGCTGCTTCAGGCCGCCACGACGGCCGCCACCTTTGGCGTCCCCGGCAGAGACACGATCCAGGTCGCCACGGGATCGACGCCCATGGTCGGCTCCGAGGCCGCCGGTCCCGCCAGCGGCCACCACTTCCACAGCCAGACGCCCACCAGCATCAAGACCATCGCTCTGCCTACATACCTGAGCGAGTGGAGCAAGAACGGCTTCGAGGAGGCCATGTTCCTGGGCGCCCAGGTGGCTGCGAGAATAGCCTTTTGTCTGCACTCCAACATGGATGCTCAGGCCATCGAGGCACAAAAGTCAATGAGCCTGAGCAGAGTCGACTACAAGTAAGTTCTTCTTATCCAGTTCGAAATCATCCTTTCGATGTATACATGCATACTAACCCCCTCTCTTTTAAACAGCGAACACGGCCCCAAGGGCATCCGAACACATTCCATGCTCAGCTAAACCAAAAAAAAAAAAACCCTCACCAGTTCGCATAGAGTTCAAGGATGCTAAACGGGGTTTCCTCTTTTAATGTACAATGTTAATCTCTCGCGCTTCGTTGTTTTCGAATAAGGACACTGCCCGAGTTTCTTTTCCTCTCTATTTCTCTCCATCTCTCTATCTCAGAATCTTCCATCTTATCTGGAGTTTTAACGGACGGACACGGAGGGCGTGTCAGATGAAATGTGACTGTTGAAAAAAAAGAACACACTGCTGGAGGAATGGACTGCTTTTCCCGCAACTGTGGAGGTTAGATAGATAAATGTCCAGAGAATATTATTTCCCCCCTAAAATATATAGGAGAACGAGAGATACCATGAAATGCTCAAATTGTAAACCAAAAAAAAAAAACAAGTCTTTTTTTTAGATCCCGTAAATACCCAGTGCCTGACATGCCTATTGAAAAATGTAAAAAAAAAAAAAAATAATGAAACATAGAGGAATGCTGCCCGCCTCCTTGAGATATTCAGAACTATCCAGATACTCTTTCTTCATGGCTCTCGCGCAGCTCCTCGTGTCTTGTTACTTGTCACCTGCGGATAGCCCTCGACTCAATTCACACGCTTCTTTCCCGCCGCTTCCCTAAATCTTGTAGGTGGTGAAGCAAAAAAGCTCTGCCCGCACAATAGATTATATAACCTTGCTGCTTTCAGAGTCGCCAACACGGCAGATGCACTTGTCGTTCTCCCTTCCAATCTGGATACGACGCGCACTGCCTGTAGTTCCGTAAAAAAGGAGGACCTGGGATGAGTAAAAAGCGCACACCTTTTGCGCGACTTCTAGCCCGCTGCATTTCTGGCGGCAGCCTCTCGAGCTGCTTGGTGCCAGTCCGTCTTCAGCAGGTAAGTGTACTCGATCGAGGAGACCCTAATCATCAGAGTTAGTTGAAAAGGCCTGGCTGTTGCTTCATCATCACGAGAGTTGATTCGATCGAACATACAGTATCAAGCCCACGCTGACGCCGGCCCATAGACCCTGCAATTTCCAGCCGAGTCCAAAAGCCAACGAGAGCGAAATGGGCAGCGAGACGACGTAGTATGAGATGAGGTTGACTGGTCCGCCTATGCTCTGTTTGCCGATGCCACGGAGCAATCCATGCGCACCGGCGCTCATGCAGTCGAATACCTGCATGACAGCGACAACAGGCAGAATGCTGGCCACGATGGAGATGACCCCCTCATCATCCGTGAAGAGCAGTGGTAGGTGGAATCGAAGGCTGCTGTAGATGGCAAAGTTGAGGAGTCCGAGTATGCAGTGCGTAACAAAAGTCTAGGGGGGGAGCATGTCAGTAAAGGCTCACTTTTGCTTTTTCCCTGCTTATTAGTTATAGGAGCAGAACGTACCACTTTGCCAGTAACTCTGGCCGCGTCGACAAGCCCAGCGCCTATCAGGTTGGCAACGCGAGTAGACGCGGCGATCGACATGGGGAAGGGAATCTGGTATGAGATGGAAGCAATCGTCGAAACGACACTCTGGGCGGCGAGGTAGTCGGATCCGAAGCGGCTGGCCAACAGCGTCAGGATCTCGAAAGCGAGCCACTCGGCTTCGACCATGATCATGCCGGGAAGCGCCAGCCGGATCATGACCCACCAGTTGGTAAGTGCTCGCTTGCTAAATCCGCCCCAGCATTCGCGGCCGTTGACGAACCGGACATAGCAAAACAGGAGAACAGGCAAGATGTTCTCGGTAATGGCCACGGCAATGGGCGCGCCAACGAAGCCGTACTCGAGCTTCCAGACGAGCAACCAGGTAAGGAAGACGTTGAAGGGGGCGGCGAAGAGGAGAACATATGTGGTTGCCTGGAAGAGACCCTGCGACTGAGTGAAGCGCTTACCACACTCGAACAGGATGACGCCGGGAATCGCAAAGATCATGACGCGGAGGTAGAGAGCGGCAAGTCGAGCAGACTCCGGGTCGGGCACCATGCGCTGCAGAATTGGCCCCGCGCCAAAGAGCCACAGGAAGATGACGGGCACAGAGAGGGTCAGCAGGAAGCATGCCATGCGCTGACACTGCAAGCCAACAAGATGCTTGTGGCCGGATCCATAGGCCTGGGCGCAGAGGGTATCCAGACTTGTGGCCAAACCCTGGAAGGGGGCCAAGCAGGAGATGGCTTGCGACATGTTGGCCACTGGTCAAGTTCATCAGGTTCAAGCGTTAGTTTTCAACTTCTCATGAAATCGCCAAGGATCAATGGTTGTGAGACGACTTACGTGATATAGCTCCCAGCTCGATGGTACCAATGCGACCAACGGCAAAGATGCCGGCCACGTTGATCGAATATTGGAGAAAAAAGGTCACAATCAGCGGCCCGCAGTATGACAGCACCGTCTTGGCCTCACGCCGCCACGTCGTGCGAATCCGTCCCGTCGTTATAGCCTCCTCCCACTGCTCATCCACATCCTCTTCGCCCGCGGAGTCGGGCAGCTGTCGATGCGTCCGTGTGCCATAGTCGTAGTCGCTATCCCGAGAGAGCAGCGGCGCATCCTCTTCAGGCTCTTCCTCATACTCCTCGACGGGGACTTTGGTGCTGAAGATCTTTCGGTACATTCGAGCGGGTAGCGATTGGCTCTTGTGGGCATGTTTCGGGGGCAGGACGTGGTTGTCCCGCAGGAGGCTGCGCTCGGCATCGCGAGATTGCTTCCGCTCGAGTGGTGTCAGAATGGGCTCGTCCAAGGCGCTTGGGTTGAAAGCAGGCCGAGCCGCCCCGTATGCCACGCCGCTTGGCCGTCGATACATGAAGTGATGGCCATGCTCAACGTCAACCTGGTCGTCGGCAGGGTCGAAGTCGTCATCGGTGCACTCTGCAATGTCTTGAGCCAGAACTTGCTCGGCAAGAGGAGATCCGGACCGGAACGAGGACGAAAAGGCTGGGTGGTCATGGCCAGAAGGCCCAGAGTTACCAGCAGCCGCGGGACTCATGGTGATGGAGTGGTCTCTCTCGCACGGAGAGAGGGAGCTCGAGATATATTTGATCTACTCGCTCAAGTGCTGGGGCTCGAGGGTTGAGAAGACGCCACCATTAAAACACCTGGTATATCGGCTCGGCCTCTGACTTATAACAGCTTTCTCTTATTCTCTTTCCGGTTTCCTTGCTCGATCCAGGCAGCGTCGTTGGGTGGTGTACCTGCAAGGAGATGGATCGACAAGGCGTAGACGCAAGGCGCTTGTCAAGAAAAAGGGGGAGAAATCCTGTTGGACCTGTGTCAAGGCTTCGTGTTGAACCGAAGAACAAGCCAATTGCTCCCACGAGTCACACAGAGAAAAGCTCTTCGGCTAACTCTGCCCTTCCAAATCGGCGTGCGCCAGTTGGCAGCACGAGACACGGGATTGGAGAGAAGAGAGACGGAAGATGGCGGCCTTTGCAAATGGCTTTGGGCGAAGTGATGGACGGCTGGAGAGTCGGTCGACAGAAGGAGGGGAGCCGAGAAGGGAAGAGATGAAGATGAAGATGAAGATGCGCAAAGAAGTTGCAGCAGCACCAAGTCCGAGAGGATGAGGTGCTAAGACATGATCAGTCTACGCAGGCCATGAAACTAGGCGTATCGGGATAGTGTGGTCGGCTTCAACAGGCAAGGTATAAAAAAACTAGCAGCTTGGAGGTGGCACAAAGAGGATACACAGATAGTACGAGTAGCACTACAGTCAGTACCTTGCGTGACTCCATCGAACTAAGGTACTCCATACGACCCATCAGGTAGCATCGCCATGATGCTAAAAAGTACTTGTACACGCTCTGCTCCGTCTTCTGCCATCCATCGTGGACACTGCATTGCTTGGTACTAAGATTGCCAAGGTATCTCAGCTTCATATTCCCCCGTTCAGACTGTACTAAGCTACGGAGTACAAGGTCCCGTGCGAGCTCCGATGGCTCTCCGTGTTTCTGTTCGGGACGTCACAAGGCAAGTTTGTCCAGCAAGGGGGGGCGAATGTCTCTCTTCAGTGCTGTAATTAGTACTTGGCCGTTAGCAGAAACAGCATTACTGTTCCATTAGTAGGTACTAAGGTATCTACTACCTTGGAGATCAACTCATTCATCCTGCAATGTACATGGCATGCACAATTCACGCCATAGCCCGCAATCCAGCCGTGGGCTAGTCAAGTCATGGAAATCGAGAAAGAAAGAAAAAAAAAAGGACCAGCCCGCACGGCTGAACCGAGGGACAGAAACAGGCAAGGGAAATTCGGGGAATTGATTGAAAATTCGCAGCGCCAAGGATGAACCACCGCCGATGGCGCGGCCACCCTCCATCACGGCTCTGCATTACCTAGTAGTAACATCCATCCCTGTCTCGGCCCGGTTTAGCGGACGTGGTGGCGCTGGAGGCCACCGTTCAACCACTGAAGCTACCACTGGACTAGGTACTAGTAGCAAAGGCGCGCCGACATCATGTTCTGATAGGTATCATAATGGTTGCTCTGTATACGAGTAATGAATAGCCGTCAGCCCATGTTCAGGATGGATTCAGCCAGGCGCCCTGCCGGTAGCATCTCCCCGACTATCTATGTATGTACAACAATAGCCAGCCTCGTGGGAAGCAGGAATCCCTGTCTGCACATCACATCCTGCGCTCAAGCGTCCACACCACCATGGCGTCTGTGCGGCATCGCACAACTACAAATACAGCCCCCGTCCCGCCCGTTGACAGCCAAGTCCTGGCCTGACAGCAACGAGGTGTGGCCATTCCGTGCCACAATATTGGCTCCTTTGCCGCCTCACCGGCAAGCCACTGAATTATCGCCGGCGACGCCCATGCTTGTGCTTGGATACGCGAGGTAACATCGGAATCCAGCACCCGTCGAGTAACACAGTTGGTAGAGTCCCCTAGATCGTTCACTACAAGCAAACAACCCCTCCGCACTCGCTGCACTCACACCGCATCCGCATCTGCGTCGGCCTCCGAATGCCGCTCTGTATCTGCATCACACTGCAGTCTCCAGCGGCCAAATGACAAATCTCTCTCGTCTTGTCAACTAAGCAGTGTCGCTGGGAGTGTACGTCCAACTGAAGCCTTTCCAATCAGGCTCCGAGTGGGCCGCAGTTGCAGCCCAAGGTACCTCGCCCTTCCCGTAGGCCTGCAGCGGCATGCTATATGGCATCCGAAGGCCAATGAGAGGCCGTTGTCCTTCTGCGAATGGCGATGCGCCCGGGGTATCTGACTGGAACGAGCTCACCATGACCCCGTTTTCACAGAGCAGCCCTGGCCACACCAACACGCCAACTTCCCAGGAAGCGATTCGAACATCCCCGGTGGAATTGGGTGCCTCGCCCCACGCCTGCTTCGACATGTTTGCCGATGTTAGCAGGGCCCAGTCAATCGAATTGTTCTGGTTGAAGCGGGTATAAGTCTTGATGTGCGGGGCCGCACGGTTTCGCCCGCTATCGCCGCTAATAGTAGGCGGCTGTTCAAGAGGCCCTATCCAGTGCTGTTAGTCCAAAACGGGCTCTCCCCAATACGTGTACTCCATCATCTCATCATATAAAACTACAAGAGAATTGATTCGCGACAAGTGACGCCAAGAGGACAAAGATCGAGACAAGTACTTGCCTGCTCCATTTGCACTGTCGTTGGCCCAGTGGCGCAGCATTGGATGGAGGTAGTGCAGCTGCCTGATATGCTGCGACGACTTGATCTTGGTGTGAATCGATTGCCCCGAGGCGTATCCATCCAACGAGTTCCGGATCTCATCTGCAGTGGGGAAGACGACCTTGAAGCTTGGCCTCTTCATATCCTGGCTCCGGCTGGTGGCTAGCGTGTCAAACAACGTCTTTTGCAGCCAATCGTCCTTGGCACCAAGAGTCGCAATAGAAGATATTTGAACCACGATTTGTGACTCCCCGGGCTCAACAGGCACGCCTTGTAAGCCTCGCTTCAACGCGGCCCAACCCCAGGCCGGGCTGCTTGCATCCCACAAACTGTGTCTGCCCGGAACACTGGCTACCAGGGTTGCCCGTATGCTGCAGAAGTCGAAATTGATTAGACGATCTACGAGCTGTTTGCAAGTAACCCTATGGGAGTCATATTGCATCAAGTAAGCCAACAAATCCATCTTGAACTTCGCCCCACTACCGATGGAGAATTGCTCTGCTTGCTGATTTCGGATTCCCAGTTCCGAGATCCATGGGAGCTTTGGGGATCTCCAGACAGCGTTGGCCATGTTGGTCCAGTCTTTGGGGATCATGTTTGCAGTGTGGATGACAACTTGGGCAGTGTTGTCGGAGCGAAATATGACCATCATCTTGGAGTGATGCGTCCCAAACATCTCAGGCATAGGCGCGCAATGCAGATGCACGTTGGGGTGTCGCAATGCGTGCTCCTAATCAAAGTGAAAATGCAGGGTCTTATCAGTCTCAATTCAACTATGCTTTCAGATAGAATTAAAAAAAATCAATTCATAACGGGAAATGGGAAATGATGAGAATCGAAATCGGAAGAAAAGGCAAAATGTGAAACCGCCGAGTGTACCACTATATCCAAGGGAGAGAGGATTGTCAAGCGACGGCCACGTACCGAAAGAACAACACGGTTCAAATCATTTCTTTTCCAGAATCCGTGAACCACGTGTAACTGAACCGAATCTCTGACGCGCTGATCAAAGGCATCCATCACGAAGGGGATATCGTGAAGAAAGTTGAACTGCCAGCACTCGGTGATGGAGGGGTCACCGAGGATGTCCTCTAGAGTCACGGTATCCTTGTTCAATTCCTCCGGGACATCTCGAATTCTAGTGAGCTGCCATGGCGACTTCTGCACAACCTGGCGAAACTTTTTCCGCGGAGGGCTGATGGGCCGCGAGAGAGATGCCAAAGCTCCGAATTCATTGCCCTCGTCAACACTGCGCTGACGCTTGCGCGAGGAGTCCATGATCCTAGGGTAAGGCTGCCAAAACCAACATTGGCTTGTTAGAGCTTTGTTTCCTAGGTGGCAGAGTGAAACGATGGAATCAAATGTGCTAGTGCAAAGGTGATGGTGATGATGCATGAAAATGAAAATGAGGGAGTAATGAGAGGAAAAGAGGGAGAAATGGGCAGTTCTATGCTACTGCTGTGGTTGCCGTTTCAATTGCATCTCTCCTTCACTTTTTGCCGTACCTTGATAGGTGAACATGTCGCATGTACCAGGCATCCGGGCAAGGGCCAATCAGATCAGCAGACGCCGTCAAGCCACAGCCACACCACGCGCCTCAGTGTGGCGCTAATTTCGTGCAAACGCAACCACTTCGTTTCATGCTCCGTATTTCCAATCTCCCTTTATCTGCTCCTTCAGCATTGCTACTACTAGGTACTCCGTAGTATATCTAACGACGACCAGGTACTATATCATCCACGTTGAGGGCCTGCACGCGAACCTCTACCTGGCCTCTGTCGCTGAACCACGAGCTCTCCAGGCACCGCTTGGGCTGCTCTGTCGCCACCAGTCCCGCGCATGGATCAGCTCTGAACCCCGTCTCAGCACCCATTGCGTTACTCTTCGCAATCTGGCTTTTTTTGCCCGTGGCATTGTTGAAGATTAGATCGCGGTTGTTGATTCACCCTCCTCCAGCATCTTAAAGGTCGCTCACAAGTCAGCCCACCATGCGGCTGACACCCTTTACTCTACTTTCTGGCTTTGCCGCCTTTGGGCTGCTGGGCTCTTCGGCAGCGGCAGACGACGAAGACTCCAAGGCCCCCGCGAACACATATTTCGACTCTGTTGCGGTGCCTCCGTTAATAGATCTGACGCCTGACAACTGGGAGAAGGAGGTCGGCAAAAGTAAATGGCTTCTTGTCAAGCATTACAGGTACAGTGGCCCTTCACCTTCCCATATTATTGGTTGAAGCTAACATGTTACCTGTAATTAGTCCGTACTGCCACCACTGCATTCATTACGCCCCGACCTTCCAGACAATATACGAATTCTACTATACGTCCAAGACTGAGGGAGCTGGCGATGCGACCTTTACCGACCTGTACGATTTCAGATTTGGTGCAGTCAATTGCATTGCCTTCAGCGACCTTTGCGTTGAGAATGGCGTCAAGTTGTACCCTACCACGACTCTATTCGAGGATGGCAAAGAGGCTAGAAGCGTGACGGGCGGTCAAAACATGACCTTCCTCTCTGGCCTGATTGAGGAGGCCTTGGAGAAGACAAAGCCCGGATCTCGGCCCAAGACTCTCGCATTGCCCGAGCCAGGCGACAAAGAGCGTCCAAAGTCTGAGCCAAAACGAGAGGAAGACGAAGAGGCAGCAGCACCCAAAACCGAAGCCAACGGGAAGAAGCTCGAGACAACACCCAAGACCGAGGCCGATGGGAAGAAACTGGAGAAGAAGCCCAAGAAGCCCGTTGCTACACCAAACGAAGATGGAAAGTCAGTCGCACTGACAGCTGAAACTTTCCAGCGCCTAGTGACAATGACCCAAGATCCCTGGTTTATCAAGTTCTACGCGCCTTGGTGTCCCCACTGCCAAGACATGGCCCCTACGTGGGAGCAGGTAGCCAAGACCATGAAGGGCAAGCTCAACATTGGAGAAGTCAATTGTGACAAGGAGTCGCGATTGTGCAAAGACGTCGGTGCTCGAGCATTCCCCACCATTCTCTTCTTCAAGGGCGGCGAGCGCTCCGAGTATGAAGGCCTCCGAGGACTGGGCGACTTCATCCAGTATGCCGAAAAGGCCGTCGATCTCGCCAGCGGCGTTCCCGATGTGGATCTGGCATCATTCAAAGCCATCGAGCAGAAAGAGGATGTCATTTTTGTCTACTTTTATGATCACGCCACAACCTCGGAGGACTTCAAGGCCCTCGAGAGGCTTCCCCTCAGCCTCATTGGACATGCTAAGCTTGTCAAGACCAAGGATCCCGCCATGTACGATCGCTTCAAGATTACCACTTGGCCGAGATTCATGGTCTCGAGAGAGGGCCGTCCCACTTACTTCCCTCCCCTCACCCCCAACGCAATGAGAGATACCAATCAAGTCCTGGACTGGATGAGATCGGTCTGGCTCCCCCTAGTCCCTGAACTGTTGGTCACAAACGCGCGCCAGATCATGGACAACAAGGTTGTTGTGCTGGGTGTCTTGAACCGAGATGACCAGGAATCTTTCCAGGGTGCGCTCCGAGAGATTAAGAGCGCAGCCAACGAGTGGATGGACAGACAGATCCAAGAATTTCAGTTGGAGAGGAAGAAGCTGCGAGATGCGAAGCAGATGAGGATCGAAGAAGCCGAGGACCGGGACGACCAGCGGGCTCTGCGTGCCGCCAAGGCCATTCATGTTGACATGACCAACTCTGGACGGAGGGAAGTTGCATTTGCATGGGTTGACGGTGTCTCTTGGCAGCGCTGGATCCGGACCACTTATGGTATTGACGTCAAGGATGGAGAAAGAGTCATTATCAACGATCAAGATGTAAGCCCCAAACCCTCCTTCTCATTTCAAAGGCTCTCCTTGCGGTAAGAAAACCGATAGCTAATCAATATCCGCGGGCAGAACCGAAAGTACTGGGACACTACCGTGACCGGCAACTACATCCTCGTCAGCCGCACGTCCATCCTGGAGACTCTCGACAAGGTCGTTTATACCCCCCAGGCCCTCAAGCCCAAGCTCACCATCTCCTCCTTTGAGAAGGTCTTCTTCGACATCCGCCTCTCCTTCACCGAGCACCCCTACCTGTCCTTTGGCTGCATCGTTAGCATCGCCTTTGGAGTCTACTCCTGGCTGCGTGGCCGCTCCCGCCGCGGCCGCGGTCACTTCCGTCTCGAAGATTCCATCAGCATCAGGGACTTTAAGGACGGATTCCTTGGTGGTTCTAACGGCAACACCAAGGCCGACTAAGCGTATATCTATATATAGGAAAGCATGGCAGTATCCGAATCTATCTTTTTTTCTATTTGGAGTTAATGGGAGGTGGGTGGTAATATGGGTTTGGCAAAAAGGTCAAAGAGAGAGGGCACACGAGGGCTTTTGATGAACCTTGACGAGAGGGGTGGGATGGTGAACTTGGTATTTCAAAAGGAAGTTTGCAATCAAGTTTCTCCATCATGTATTGACTCACACACCGGTCATGGCTCCAGTGGACGTGGGCAGGCAGGCTTCCTATCCCTCCCCCCTCTGTGTGTATGTTTCTTGTGGTTTTGGCAGTGTGCTTGCAATCATTTATCTGCTATGCGTATCAAATTTTCAACTACTGGCTTTTATTTAACAATTTGTCGTTATTACCTTTGTAATGTAAATGGCCCATCAGACATTTTCCTACAGCTATCAGATCCTCTCAAATAACTGAGCCTATGTGTACAATTCATTCGTGAGACCATTCAGCGTGAGGCCATCCTCGGCAATGTCCTCGACGTCGATGAGAAACTGAAGAGGCATGTTGACGAGGTTACCACGAATGCGGCCCAGCCAGTCCTTCAACTCCTCCACGCCACCGGGGAACTCTTCGGGAACGACGTGTCCGTAAGGGACTTTGCCCTCCTCCCCGTCCTTGGGCTTCTTATCGTCTCCCTTGGCGGTGGGGATGATGAAGTGCTTTGAGAAGAACTCGTCGTAGTCGTCCCAGGTGCGCACGCGGTCGTCAGGAACGGGGTGGAACGCCCGGCTGAACACCCTTGTGTTCTCGTGTGCCACGTCTTCCCACAGGTTCAAAAAATCAGGGCTCAGAGGGTCTTCCACGAGCCTGTCGGCAGACGAGCCCCAATCATAGTCGTTTGGTGCGTCGGTCACGGGCAGCCAGTTTTGGGTTGGCTGGTCCCATCGCTGGTCGGGGAGCAAGCCGAGGTGCTTACGGAAGATTTGCCTTCGCAGAGAAGCGGCGAATTCGCTGGCGGCGTACTGCTCGCCGTTCATGTAAGAGTCGAGAGTAGTTGGACCCTCAACCACCACCGCAATCTCGGAGTCGTGAGTTCCCAGCTGGGAGCGATCGTTCAAATTGGCGGAGCCGCAGATGACGAGGCGGTCGTCGGCAATAAGGAGCTTGGTATGGATATATAGCTGCTCGCTCACGAAGGCGTTGAACTCGTCTTCGGGGGCGCCGTTCCACGGGATGTCGGAAATGTTGGGGCCGTTCTTCATATAGGCGGCACTCACTGTATCCCGAGTGTCATCTGGGACGGATTGGGCTTGGCGTTGATATCTCTCGTAGTTGGAAGAATCCTCATTGCGTCGACCATAGCGGTCTTCATCGTCTCGGTCATAACGATCCCGACCATAGCTATCCTCGTCACCCCTGCCGTATCGGTCCTGATCATAGCGGTCCTCATCACCTCGGCTGTAGCGGTCTCGGTCATAACGGTCCTCGTCACCCCGGCCGTAACGGCGGTCCTCATCATAGCGGTCATCCCGGCCGTAGCGGTCTCGGTCGTAGCGCTCCTCATCATCTCGGCCGTATCGCTCCTCGTTGACATAGTCGTCATGATATCTTCGCGCATCCTCGTACGGGACGCCAGAGCGGGATTCTGCCTGCCGCAGAGTGCTAGATGTGTTGATGCGATCATAGTTTCGAAGGTTGTAGAAGCCAATGTACTCCCTTGGGTTCTCGATGCCGGCGGCAACAAGCTTCTGAATAATGCTGTGTCCGCCCCTGCTGATGGAGTTGTACTGGAATTCCATGATGGCTCGTGTTCCGAGGGCGTCCTTGGACTTCAAGTCTCCAGCGAAAGCCGGGACGGCGGGCATCACTACCCATACCTTGAATGGCTGACCTTCTTCATATGCTCGAACGATACGGTCGACTATGGCGGCTCCAATCTTGTTGCCTACGGGGCGCTGCTCGTCGCTCGTGGCGGTGATGAAGAACTTGGCGGAACCGTCAGCTCATGATTCATACCTGGCAGTCCTTCTGAATGCCTGGAGCTTAACGTACCTGGTTCTCTATGTAGACAAAGTGCCTGGCATTCGTAATAGCACTGACATAAGCATTTGCGATTGAGTGCTCTGTGGCGTGGCCGGACGACCACTTGGTGCAGCTAGAATGAAGTTTAGTGAGGTTGAAATGTGTAGTTCTCAGATTATTTCGCCATACCTTCGTGTAAGCTGAATGCGAGTACCTCCCCGGCCACTGCGTCGGTCGTAGCTGCGCTCGTCATCATATTCTTCAGAACGATGGGAACGATGAGATCGATGGCCTTCTGACAAACCCAGATTTCCCATTCCATCAGCAAGGGAGTCGGTGAAGCGACTAAGCATGCCGCCGCCACCCCTTCGCTCTTCGTATTCTTGCTCTTCGTATTCTTGCTCTCGGGATCCCTCTTGTTCATACCCCCGCTGCGCTGAACCATAATTTCCGGGCATGTCAAGTCTTACATACTTTCCGGGGTCCTTTTCGTTATACTTGGCGTCATACATGAAGTTCCTTGTTTATATTAGCTGGGGGAGGCTTAATGAAGTTTGAGGGCTGTCTCTTGTACCATCTATCAACAAAATGAGAAACAAGATCAGACACGATGGGGCCGTTCATAGACAAGGCGACATCCGACCAGCCCATTCTTGAGCTCTTGGTCCGATCCACTATGCATGTTATTAGCACTTTAAGGCTCTGGCTCTAAGAGTGAAGGAGAACCTTACGCTGATTCTGATCCCAGTTTCCAACATCAGCAAAATCGAAAATCCGGGCGTTGTTGTAGTCCTGGCCGGGGAAGATGATGTTGTCGACATTTCCAGGGTGAGCATCTGCGATTGGATGGGCTGCACGTCTGTGTTAGCTGGACTCCTTAGCCACCTGGTTATAGTATAAGTACTCACAATTGGTATCCCATCGTCCGAAACCTAGTTGAACCAGTTAGCCACTAAATAATCTTGAAACAAGTACCCGAGTCGGACGGAAGTCGTACACATATCAAGACCACCCATGAAAACCAGATTACGGTCGACAACAAGGAGCTTTTCATGATGAGCCCAGTAGAGAACAACATCGTCTGCCGCACCGTAGATTGCCTTTAGAGTGTCCTTGGACATGGTTGCCAAGTTGAAGTTTGTTAAATTCTTGAATGAGTTGCCAATTTCTGAAGCAATGTCGTATCCTGCGGGAGCGTGATCGGGATGACGGAATACGCCGATGTTGGGGTGCAGCTTTTCAAGGGCATGCTTTGTGTGCTGTCCGTATGGTCAATGAGCCATCAAAGTACTTTTCACATGGTGCTGTTGGTGCTGTGAGAGACATACCGCAGAGTCAAGAGTGAGAGCTGCCTCGACTTCTTTGTACACAATGATATGGACCTTGACTCCACGCTCGGCAGCAGCCTGAAGCATAACGTCAAGGCGGTACTGCTCGTTGCGAGAAGGAGGGCGACGCAGGTAGAGCTCAGGGCTCAGCCACCAGTCGAGAATATATATGCTCTCCTGCGCCCCTGCGAAAGGAGGTGTTAGTGATGAATTGTACTCAAATGAGACACCTGGATAGAAGCAGGAAGAACTTACTTTGAAGGGCCTCGGACACGGCCCAAAAGTAGGAGCAGCCATCGACGAACCACTTGATGTTGCCGGATGAAGGAGCTGCAAAGGACTGGAATCTGTTGGCAGCGTGTTCTTCAGGGTGAAGCTCATCACATTGATAGCCCGAGTGCGAATGAGAGTGCCTTTCCTGGTCTTGTTCGTCGCCTCCGAAGAAGGCCTCGACCCTGCCAAAGAGACCCATGATGCGGCTTTATGGACGGCCAGCCGTACAATGTGTTGCAGGCAGCACTGGAGCAAAGAATGAGCAGAGGATGCAAAAGGAGCCACAGGGCAGGCTGGAAATCACGAATGGCGGCTGGGAGAGTTGGGAGTTGAGAGTTTAAGCTTGACAAAGGGGTCGATGAGGGGTGGCTTTGGAGCTGTCAGAAATGCCATGTCGCGTGTTTGCCGGAGGACTGCATGGCACGGCATCCATCGTATCACAGCCGCCGACAGCCATTGCTTAGCCCCGTTCTTGGTGGCCTCAGTGGATCGAAGCCATTATGCACGCAAGCACAGCCACTGGCCGTCAGTTTGTGCTTTGTCCAAATGGAGACGGGACGCCAGTTGATCAGTTCTGTTGCCAGCACAGCGAAGAGCGTCTGTTGGTGAGCTGATTGGCCGGCAGCTTGGAGGGGAGGGGGAGGCTTCCAAGTCTTCTCGATAGAGCCATAAATCTCGAGCTGGAGGGGCCCTCGTCCTTTCAAGATGCTGGGAATACGAGTGTGAATGTGAATGTGAGACCCCTCTCCCCCACTAACAGACAGTTGAAGCTGAGCTGGAGCTCCGAGCCAGATATGCGGGGTCCGGACAATGGAGCGAATCCTGGCCGATCGTCGTCACCGGCTTCAGTGCTTCAACGACAGCAGCGGGGATCACCCTGGAGCGACATTAATCATAGCGACCAGTATGAGTATGAGCACGGATACGACGGACCTTTTGCTGCGCAACACTCTTTCAAACGGACGAGCAAGTAATACAGAGTAGGCCAACAGTTCTGAGCGCTGGCAGCATAAGGGATAAGGGACAAACTGTCCGACCGGAAGAATCCTTGTCATACCGTTGCTTAGTTTTTGTGATGCAGGGAAACCTGTTGGATTCCACCCGAAACAGCGTTGACATCGACGTCGATTGCTTCGTAGCTGTAGTTTGATCAACTGCATTTTCACATGTAGAAAGGAAATGTAGCTGCAGAAACTAAAGGCAAGCCATCTTGCCCTAATCGACTATCTCTGGGTGCATTCCTCAACTTTCCTCCACTATCGCTCCTTTCTGTTGGAAAGAACCGTCTTGGATACCTTATGTACTAGGTAGGTACTGTATACCTGGATGAATGATGCTAGCCCAAGTGAATGGAGGTCAAAGACTCTAATCCCTTGGAGCAACAAAGAACAACCCCGCTGCAGACAGCTCTACTCATCTATCTCAGATCCTCAGGCAAGGCCCAAAAACAGTTACAGTACTATCCTCGATATGTATTTTGATCACATGGAAACGCCTGTGAAATGCAGTGGCCAGAGACTACGGCATCAGCCCCATGGATATACATTGCAAGTCACACCAATCAAGTTCGACAAAATGTGACGACCTTGGACATCGCGTGGGAATCCGAGTCCTACACAATGGGGCACGGTGCTTAAAAGGCAAATGAAATATGACGGGGTGAGCGCGGAGGCATCCTTAAACTTTGTTGACAAGGTGGTAAGTCGTGGTTTTCTGAGGCTCGAAAACCTTCCGTCTCTTGACGGGTATCTGTACTGATAACGCAGACACCCGGCCGGCCTGAGCGAATGGATCGTAGAAGCAAGCACCCAGCTTGGGTGAATTAATAGAGCTGGAACTATATAGCCACAGCTCGGAAGCTTGATGGCTTCAAAACAACCTTGCACGTTTTCTCCTACTTCAAGTTAAGTACTCGTAGAATGCCTTCTCAAGCATGACTTATACTAACAGGTTAACAGTTGGAAGCGTACAATATTGTACCTCAAGGTATTCGTGCCTAGCCTCGACGCTCAACAATGTCACAACCAAGGATCCAACTTCCCCAGCTAGCCGATCTAGTGTGAACGACTTGTCTGGCTCGTCAGCCAGGATGATTTGGTTACCGAAGACATGGTCATCCACGAGGCGTCAGCTGCATGTAACAGCAATGGCTCTCATTCACCATCGACGAACCCGAGTCCATCGAAGCAACATCCGAGGCCACGACAGATCCGCCTCAGATCGATGTCGCGGGCACAATTTTGGCACAAGCCGTCCAAACTTTCATGTTTGCCCCAACGGAGTGGCACAAAGACACCAACTACTCAAAGCCCGATAGAAATAACTACAAGAGACGTACTGGCGGCAGCAGAGGAAGCAGCGAATACACACTACCTATGTCACGGAAGAAGTTGACAACATGGCCGCGTAATTATACTTCGTCCAGCCATTGAGACTAATCGGCCACATATGGCGCGTCATGTCCGCCGTCGACTTCGTGTTCGTCAAGAAGCTATTCGCCAGTGGCTTCTCTTCTTACGATCAAGATATCTTCTTTATCCGGGACCGTCTGAGCAAACTGCCTGTAGACGGCGATGTCTCTGGTCAACTATTCAATCACCGTCGGCCAGAGGTTATTATCGAGCATACATTTACCAATATTATAGCTGCCCAGACTAAACTTGATCAAATTCGTGATCTTCTAAAGAACAGAGAAGTTCTTCCCTCCGAGAAGATTCTGTTTCAACAGTTGCTCCATTAAGAGTCCCCCGAGCCCAGCTTTTAGAGATATACTCACATGCCTAACATTCGGTCAACGTCCATCAGTGAGTTCAGTCGCTCACCACCATTGCTCTCTCTTGCATTTCCTACTATTTATCCTATGGGTGAAGCAATTTTCGTGTCGCCGCGTCTCCGACCGATTACCAACGGACATGGCAGCAACTCTCGCAGCGTTGCTGGAAAATACAGCCTAGGAGATTGCATCAAAGAATCATTCTGCCGCACCTGGTGTTATACCGGCGAATGGTTAGCAGGATCAACACCCCCACGAATTGAGTGCCCAGTACTCTTGATAATTTTCTCAGCTATTTCGATGTCGAGCGACAAAAGCCGACCCCGGGTGTCACAGTGAGAGCAGGCCCAATACAAAGCGCCGCCATAGACAGCACGAAAAAATCCATTGCCTCAATTGGAGCCGCCAGACGAAGGGCAAACACGGAAGCCTGCTGTCTCGTGGTGGTTGAAATGGTTGCAACCCAAACCCGTGAATGACACCAGCACGGGCTTGATGACGCCGCGGAAAAACAAGTCAGAGGCAACAGCCACGGATGATGTTATTAGCAAGAGAGTAGCCCTACAGGCTCCGTACGTGGAACGTATTTATGCCAAATAGGAGCGCTAGAAGAGCGACGGCTCAGATTTACGGCGTTCTCGGCCACTGCGGAAAAGTCTGGAAGAGATGACTCAAGGGGCTTAGATGAACTCTTGCGTCACATTCGAGCAAACAAGTTCTCAAGTTCACATTGTTGATCTTCAACAAAGAGGTGCTTGGATTCTGCGACGTTGGTGCTTAATTAGAGATAGTGTAGCGATTCCTGGCTGAGAACCCTGACGAAGAAAAAGGGGCTTGACAAAGTAACGAGGCGAGCTTATACGCTCGAAATGGTCCTCAATATACAGCTGCGACCCGAAGAATCATGGCTCGAAGATCTCGCGAGACTACACCCATGGATGAAGGACGACACACCGGGAGCCCTTATCGTAGTAGACATGACGGCAATCCTCCAAGCAATGACCAGAACAGGGTACCCGAACCACCGCGGATGGAAAAGGCGGAAACAAACACGACAGGAAGCTCGGCAAGCTCGAAGAAGTCTAAGACGCACCAGGGCATACCAGTTGTCAGCAACGGCCCTGGCAGAGACCTTGAGAAAGTGTTCCACTGGGCCATAAAAGGACCCTTCCCTGAACTCCTGGATCCAGATTGGATTCTCGTTGACCATCTCAGCCTGACTGTACAGAGTGCCTACCCATATTACCAATTCCAACGCCTGTCATACGGGAGAGGAAAGCGTTGCATCCAACACCAACCAAGACGCCGCCTTTGCCTATTCTGTTTCTGAACAGCCAATTACAAGTATGCCAACCAGCACCGAGGCTCCGTCAGGAGGCAGCCCTGCTCCCACCACGCCTCGCAAGCGAGACAAGTTGACGCCCGCCGCTTCTCGGGCACAGAAGATTGAGAATAAAAATAAGAATCACCTGTGAAGCCTTGCCGACGAGACTCGGATTCTCCCTCGCCATAAATACAGCTGGACTTGTGGCAGTGGTGGGAGCTCGGACGATACTTGCGCAGACCCTGATTGTACCAACTTTCTCTGCCCTCGATGTGGCACAACCGATCATTCGGCAACGCCATCTGCTACCTCTTAACTACCTGGGTACTATCTACTACTATCGATGCTATCGCCATTATCTGCTACTATCTACTCCTATCGTTACTTTCTGCTACTATCGCTGCTTTCTTCTAATATCTGATGCTATCAACACTGTGATAACTGGAGGCACCTTGCGTGGGTTGCCAGAACCCCATAATGTCAAATCTGCAAGATATTCTTTCCTCACTGAGACTTGATTGGTCTCAATTTGGTCTTGAAATGCCATTTCTATCGTCTACCAAAGTTGGCTATCTGGAGGGACTATGGAGAGATGAGATGAATGGACAGTCTTTGCTGATGGCCATAAAACTCGGGGAATCCTTTCTAAGAGTTTCGCCAAGAGCAAAGATGCTCTCCGTTTACAGGGGCCCAAAAAGATTTACATGGAGATGGATGTCAAAATCGTGGTAACTGAACCTCTTGCTTGTGGAATTAGTTGAAAAACAGGCAGAATGATCTTCCAGCTTTGAGAAAAGTACAATACCAGTGATCAAGCGTACTGTTTTGATTAGACGAAGCTGGGATCGCGGATTGTGATGCCTGATGGGTAGCATCTGTTTTCCAGCCGCTGACCTGTTGCCCATGGTAATCTCCAACAGAAGAACCCAACTTGGACATCAGCCGCGAGACTGTTGTTTTAGAACATGGCCGTGATGTGGCAAACAACTAATTGTTGGCAGTGACCGAAACAATCAAGAAGTTGACTGCGTCGCACCAAGGCCTCACTCCATTGGAGCGTGAGATTGGAAGGACAATAAATTTCAGCGCCTACAGGAAAGGAATCCTTGTCGTATATGACTGTTGCAATATCAAGATACTTTACACTTTGGCAAAAACATGGACAAGATGTCCACACAAGCCGATTTCTCTTTGGGGCATTTCTTCATCAGAGGTACATGTACATAATCATGGAGCGTGGCTGAGGGCACTCCCGGGCTCTCTACCCGCTGAGTCGTCACAAACGGCAAGGGGGTTTCGTGCCAGACTACTACTTTACGAGCCCGTACAGTAGCCTCTCAGGGCGCCCTGCAAGCCACAGACAGGGAGGCTTCTCAACCGACGTACCGTCTCATGCAAGGTACATGCACCGAAATTTCGTCGAGGCCGCCGTCGCTCAATTATTGCCTCCATCAAAGCCGATAACGGGCACCGCGTCAAATCGCTCATGGGCCAATTCGATTTCGAGGCAAATGCCGTCTATAGCGACTCGATACATTGCCTAGCATCCATCAATATCAATTTGTCTTTTTAGCCGCAGCCAAGCTTGTCAATTCCAGCGCGTTTACACGTGGCGAAGCGACAACAGTGACATCAGACATTACCTTAGTAGTAGGTGAGTGAGTCTCTCGAGGCCTCCGTTGAGATGAGCTGCTGCTGCTCACAATGTTGCTCTCATCCCGTCACATCTCAACTCGTTGGAGATTTTTATGTTTTGTTTTGTGTTCAGGGGAAGCAGAGATTTAGCTTTCCCACTGCATGAATCCTAAAGCTGACGACGTTCGATATAGCCTGTATAGTTTGTTTTTTACATTTTCAACGCCCATAATTTCCAGGGCGTCCATTCAATTCTCTGCTCTGTCAACCTGAGGGCAAACACAGCACGACGTCTGGTATTTGTATCACGTTATCTGCCAGCACATTCCGCTTCTAGAGATCACAGGCGTCCGTTCTTGCTTGCGTTGCTCCTCTCATTCTTTTGGACATCAACTTCTCTCCTTCATACTTGCTTTTTCAACAACAAGATGCCTGCTCCCGGTGTCGTCGTTCCCTTTGACATGTCGCTGCACTCGCACCTCACTCCTTACCTGGCTGCCATTCACGCTTCCTGCATCACTCACGACCACACAATAGCCACATTCCTTCTGCCACTATCACATGAGAAGCTTCTATCCTGGTGGAAGGAGCGGATTGCAGAAACAAACGATGGGAGACGATTGATGCTGCTCCTGGTGAGCGAGCTGGATCCAAGCGGCCGGATCAAGGGGCCGGAGCTCATAGGCGTCGTCATGCTATGGATGCCGTACTCGGAGACGGGGTCATTTCGAGGCTATGTAGAGAAGCTGCTCATCCACAAGCATCACCGGGGGAAAGGCGGCGCGAGGGCGTTGATGAGTGCGTTGGAAGCAGAGGCCCTGAGTCGAGGCCGGACATTGCTGGTAAGTCGCATTGATGAATCTTGAGCCCGTTGATGTGAAGAAGCCGGCCTTGTGCTAACACTTGCTCTCGCAGCTGTTGGATACGGAGAGCGGCAACCAGGCAGAAGCAGTCTTTGGCAGGCTTGGATATACCGAGCTGGGCAAGGTTCCGGGATATGGCATGAGTCCTGCGGGAGGCTTGAAGGACGGCACGTTTTTCTACAAGACGCTTGAGCTGTGACCTGAAAGTGTTTGGCGGACCAAGGGCGTGTGCTACCGAGTACATGTAGTGGCAATACAGCTTCAATGCTTGGGAGGCTGGACTGGACTGGACTGGACAGGACTGGACTGGGCGGTGATACCCGCGGCGCAGTTGGAGGAGCAAGCAAACCAGCAAATGGCGAGTGTCCAAGGTCGCATCCTGATGCCACGTGCGTGCTGCCATCTATGCGACTGCATACAGGCTAATGCGAGATGATTGCGTATGTACATGGCTGGTGAGATGTTGACTTGGCAGCGGCTGAGATCCTTTGCCCTCTTTTGGGGGGGCCTCGGTGAGAGAAACAAGAAAAGAATTGCATTTTGTGAGAAAATAGAATTTGAGAACGGAGTAGCATGGGGTTTTTTTCTTCTTCTTTTCTTTTTAAGCTTGAAATATTGATTTTGACGCCATTCGTACTATGCTTATGAAAAAAAGGACATTGTATGCACGGTGTGGTATGTGATGGGCTCACAGATGAACACATCCTCTTCTTTACCGTGAATTCCATTATTACTAGAAACCATAGCCAACCATAAACACACTTCAACAATTGCAAGTACTATAATGTACATGTAGTCTTCATTCTCCGCCAAAAACCGCAAATCTTCCCAACGAGGCGGAGAGAACAAGCTTCCTTGCCGGTTTCTTTCTGCGGCGGCGAGCTATCAAAAGTTCCGAAAAACGCCCACCTTCGGAGGACGCCGCGGTTCAGTTGATCCCTGTCCACGCAAAAAGGCACTTTGCACCGAAACAAGTGAATCAAATCGCAAACTCAACGTCGTATCATCACTTACGAGATAGCGCTTCCCACGTACAGTATAATTACAAACAAGTCACTGCCCTTCAGCCCCTCTCAGGAAACAATGTAAACCAACAGCGCCAGTCCCAATCTGGCGCCGAAGAACGAAGAAGCTGAAGCTCATGATATCGCTGCCCCCGGCCAACCTCTACTAGACTGGGGGGGTTTTCCCGGACCTTGCTCGATGTGGCATGTCCAAAGGGCTATTTTGACAATCTTTTTTTTTTTTTAAACCCTCTCCCTCTTTTCTGTCTTGCCTGACAAGGGTCCGTCAATGGCGGACTGTCGGTATGGGCATGCCGCTTTCTGCAAGGCCCAGGTCCCCATCCAAAGTTGCTCCGTTAGATAGCCGTACGTGTAGCCAAGATAGACCGGGGCGAGGAGCGGTTTGACGTCTATAAAGCCATGGGTGCGACTGAAGATGTGGACGATTTGTTCTTCTTCTTTTTTCCTTTTTTCCCCCTTTCCTCAGCTTGCTTGCTCGTCTGTCTGTCAGAAATCAAATCAGTGTTTAGGTAGTCAATCCCGACATCTGAGGCCATGCATCGCAACACTTTGGCTGTGCTTGCGAGCGCCCAGCTTGCCGCTGCTGGGCTGTACCCCAACATGACGCCCGACAACCACACTTGCATCTTGTGTATGTTGTTTCTATGATTTGGGATCAATTGAATGGCATGGCTAACTTTCTCGATAGCTGATCCCGTCCTGTCCTGTTCCGAAGGCGCTGTCCCCGACAAGGTGGATTCTTGCTGCGTCGAGACCTTTGGAGGACTGCTGGTATGTCTCAATCACCCTTTGTTACGATTTCGCAACGGCAAAAGATTTCAAGCTCAAATGCTTATTCGATCAATTTCTCCAGCTCCAAACTCAGTTCTGGGACACCAACACTGGCCTCGAAGACCAGCAACAGCTGCTGCCTCCCTACACCTGGACCATCCACGGTCTCTGGCCTGGTGTGTTATAAGCTCAACTGTTTCCCTTCATATTACCTATTCCGAGTCTGACCGCGTCAATTAGATTTCTGCAACGGCAGCTACACCCAGTACTGCGATCTCAGGTATGTGTCCATGCTGCTACCAACTGCGTTGTGCTCAAGCGGCATCTGAATTATCGTCACATAGCCGCCAATACGACCCCAGCCCTGCTCCCAACACCACCAACGGCAAGCCTGACGGCACCCCTGTTCCGGCGTACACGGGAAGTTCCATCGAGGCCTGGTTCGAGCCGTACGGAAAGTTGGATCTCCTCGCCTACATGAAAAAGTACTGGATCAACCAGTACGCCCCCAACTGGGAGCTCTGGGCCCACGAGTTCTCCAAGCACGCCACCTGCTTCTCGACCTTTGACAAGGAGTGCTACGGGCCAAAGGCCAACGAGCACGACGACCTCTTCCAGTTCTTCGAGACCGTCATCTCCTACTACAAGGTCCTCCCCACCTGGGGCTGGCTGTCTGCCGCCAACATCCGCCCTTCCAACACCACCTCCTACTCCCTCTCCGACGTCCAGACTGCCCTGACCCATGGATACGGCGCCGTCCCCTTCATCGGCTGCGGCGGCCCCAAGTACAACCAGACCGAGGCCGGCAAGGGATCTCTCGACAACGGCGGCACTCAGCTCAACGAGGTCTGGTACTACTACCACGTCTATGGCTCTCCTCAGCGCAACCAGGGCCTGCGAGTTCCTGCCGACATTGCCGGCGGCTCGGTGTCGTCGTGCGCAAAGCCTCCCGGTGCCATCTGGTACTATGAGCGTGCCGCTGGTAGCGAGACTGCTTGAGTCAATGCATGGATGAAAACTGTAATGTGTCAAACGTGGAATGAAAACGACCCTGTCCATAGATCATACATATAGTAACGCCCGCCCCGCAACGGAGCATCGTGGAATAATTCTAATTTGCCAAAGAAATCCCCTTCGCCTTTTCCCTCGTCCACTTTCCATCAAACATCACAAGCAGCTGTGCAGATAAGCAGCAGAGGCTCTCATTGTGCTCGGATGGGAGTGGCCCACGCATGCCCTTTTCGTACAAGTACATTTTCCCTCCTTCTTCACTCGTCCGCCAACTCCTCCACTCTGGGTGCTTCGTAAACCTTTGGCTCTTGAGGCGCCACGTCCACTTGTGTATCCGTGCCCGTGGTCGTGGCAGTAGTCGGTGCCACCTGTCCAGTAGCCGCAGCCATGACCGAGTTTGCCGCAACAGCCTTGGACTTCTTCTTCTTCTTCGGCTTCTCGGTCTAGAAGGCTAGTTAGCGCTTTGTACAGAGATGATTCAAGACAAGGGAACTCTAGGGAAGAAAGATCTTACCTCATGCCAAGCCCAGACTGGTCGGAAACTGTCCATGAAAGAGACGTCCTCCCAGAGGTTGGGGTAGAGCCAAAGTCCAGGAGGCACGGCAAAGTATGTGATGCAGAATAGAATGACGCGGAATATGGCCATGGCGAAGAAGAGACCAAGAAGACCCAGCATGCCCCAACTCAGGTAGTACACTCCTTGTCGAAGCACCAACGGCCACAGAGGGTACAGGACAACGGCGAAGATGATGACAAGGGCAAGGGCGGCATACAGCTGACGCTTGACCTGGCTTCCCTCCCAGAGCCACACGTAGTACATGTCGTCTCTGGCCTCTTGCTGCTGCTCTATCCTGACGTTCCACTGGCCCTTGACACGCTTGGGCTTCTTGCCGTTGGGGCCGGGTTGAGGCTCGAGCTTGACGACTCTGAGCGCAAGCATGCTGAGGGGCAGCAGCTTAAAGGTGTTCTCCAGAGAGGCTCGGTCGGTGATTTCCGGCAGCAGAGGGTTCTTCTTTCGAGCCTTTTCATACGCCGGAGACTGCAGCGCTCGCAGAGCACGCTTGACTGTTGATTCGGTAAGCATCTATCAATGCATTGAGATTTGGCAGGGTCCAATGCGGCACTCACCCTTGAACATGTCTTTGCGCTCGCCATTCAGAATCGAGGTACGTGGCTTCAAGTCCTGGCTGCGCAGAAACTTGGCGACAGCAAGTCCCTTAGGGTTGGGCGGGCCAGGAGTAATGGGCTGCGGCTGGCCCTGCTGCTGCTGAGGATGCGGGTGAGGGTGCGGGTGAGGATGAGGATGGTTGTGGCCTTCGTGTCCTCCTCCCTGCTGCTGCTGCTGCTGCGCTGCGGCCTGTTGCATCTGCATCGCGCGCATTCGCGCAAACTGCTGCTGCTTGATGTGCTCGATAAACTCGGGCACAGTCATGCCCGCCTTTTGGGCATCCTCGGCGATCTTGCGCTGGATCTGCTGGATCTGCTCGGGCGTGGGCTGCTGGCCCATGAAGCCAGGGCCGGGCATGGGCATGCCCATCGGCATTGCGCCTGGAGGCGGCTGCGGCGGCGGCGGCGTGGCCATGGCGATGGCGATGTAATGAGCTGCTGAAGATGAGGATGAGTAATTGACAAGTCCGCGGTCGAAGCTCAAAGGCGCAAAGAATGTCAAGCAAAAGGAACAAGCTTGAGAGAAGCACGACTGCGAATGTGTCGGCCTTGGAAGCGTATTATAAAGCCAACGAGAGAAACTTGCTGTGGGCGACTGCCATCTTGAGGTCACTGCACTCAAACTGGACAGATAGCAATGTGTTCACTTTTACCTGACTGGTGGACCGGATCGTTTATTCCCCGGTTTCCGCGCTATCCTCCAGTTTGGAAGCTGCTTGAGGCACCTTATTCTTAGCACTGCTGTTAGCACTGTAACTCGCACGGTACCAGTTTAGCTCTCACGCATCCCACTTGCGCGACAGCCTTATTGGCACCTCTTTGCATCGTGTATCAGCCTCGCAGTTATTAGTTGCTACAGTATTTGCGGTCGAAGCATTGCAAAATGGGGGATCGACTCACGCAGCTGCAAGATGCAGTTGATCAGGTATGTTGTCCTATGCGACAACACCCCCGAACGTCCACTGAGAGGAGCTCCGGTTGCTAACGGAAGTCCGTCTCCAGTTCGCTCAGCAGCTCGTTGCCTCTCTGCATTTCGTCCATATGCGGCACGACCTCGAGCCATTAGGTCCCAAGGACAAGATCCGCGAGCCTAAGGAGCAGGTACCAAAAGAAGGTACGATTAACCGCGGAGAGCCGCCCGGATTTTGGCGGTTGGCTCATATGCGAACATGCGCTGACGGTCTATATAGTGGACGCACTCCCCCCCCAAGATTTTCGAGCCGGCCTGGTCGAGCTGGCGCGAGACCTGATCGTGAAAGAACAACAGATCGAGGTGCTCATCTCCACGTTGCCCGGTCTCGACAACAGTGAGCAAGATCAGGAGCGACACATCAAAGACCTTGAAGAGGATTTGAAAACGGCCGAGGCACAACGGGTGGAAGCTCTGAAAGAGAGGGATCACATTTTAAAACAGCTGGACTCTACTATCCGTATCATACGGCGGCCATGAAGAACCACGAACGTTTCTTCTAATCGACATGCTTTTCTTTTTACTTGGTAGCGAGGCGTTAAGGATAACTGGATATCTGGTAACGGCTGGTTGACGACCTGGATCACAATGATCAAAGCTGAGGAGATGACTATGGTATAGCATTGCGGAAAAAATAATAATACTCCATCATTTTATATGTCTAACCCGTAACTGGCCATCCCCTCATATATTTCATTCTCGAAATTAGCCGTGACTTCTCAGCACATTTTGGAATCCAAAAGATTTCAAAATCTAAGAACTCATGGCTAATTTCGAAGAGGTATTTGGGAGGGTGGTGCCAGTTCCAGGAATAGACATGAAATAAAGATATTCGCATGCTATCTATATATCTTGAATTCATCTATGTAAGCTGTAACGACACCTCCTTTTCTAGTATTTGTGACTCTCAGCGCCGCTTCTATCTCTATCACCCAGAGTATAACCCTCTAAACAAATGGCCTTGCACCCTTTAGGAGTTCTTGAAAAATTGGGGGTAGACTTGCCGCAGTTCTCGCAAGTGGCGGATTTGATACTGCGATGCTTGGACTGTTGGCTGTGGGACATCTTCCTCCACCAAGTGGGCTGCCGTCCAGCCCAACTTCTTTGCAGCGGCACAGTTTGCAAAACTATCATCTGTATTCAAATGTTAGAAATTCTGATTTTTTTTTTCTTTCGTAGAGTTTCGGCACAATCATGGAGCAAAAGGGGACAACCGTACCAACGAAATAACAGTCTTCCACTCTTTCTACCCCAGCCTGTTTCATAGCTTTCCGGTACATGTCTGGGTGAGGCTTGCAGACCAAGGGCATTTCGGCGTAGTCACAGTATGTAAGACCCTCAAACTGGTCGTCGATGCCGAGCAACTTGACGACTCGCTTGCCGTGGGTGACATACGCATTCGTCAGAAGCCACACAGTCACCTTGCTCCTGTCGATATCCTCGAGCAGCTGACGCAGCTCTGGATTGGGCTTGATGATTCCCTCCAGGGGCAGTGCATCGTCGACCTTGGTGTTGTACTCCAGAGGGTCAATCTGGTGGTGACGGACCAGTCCTTCGATGGCCAGGCCATAGTTTTTGTAGTACTCCTGGTGCAGTTTGACAGCATCGTCCCAGGGTAGGTTGAGATGCTCTTCAAAGTACTTGTCAATCAACTCGGCCATGAGATCTTGTACTTTGCTGCCTATCACCCAGTTAGAAATAGGCCACGGTTGAGTCATGAGTCATATTGCTTCTTACTCCTTGGGTAGAGACAGTTGTCAATGTCGCTTGAACACCGTTAGAACTACTGCTCACATTGTTTGTGACGACAATTGACTAACAAGAACAGGACCGGTTTCCCGGGGTTGGTGCCATTGGGAACAGTCATCTTAGTGAGAAAAGAAGCGGCCGGAGGTCGGTGAAATGCTCGTGTGGCGGTCCCAGGAAGTGCTTGCGAAAGAAAGCCAATGTTCCTGTTGTAAAATGAGGGGCGGGGTTTAATGGCTGACTGAACTGAAAGGGAGATGGGAAGCCTGTAGTATAAACGCATATGGCTCGGAATGTGATGAAGAGAATTAGATCGGAATAAATCGAGGCTTGATGACTCTTCACCGGTACTAATGCCCGGCTAGTATGCTGCTAAAGTCAGCGGCCGGCCATCTTGCGCCAATGCAGTGGCTCACATGAGGCTTGAGGCTGCTGAATAATTTGCCGCTTAAAGTCAGCAACCAATGTTCCTAATTGTTTATTGTGATGATGTATCCAGTCTAGTATCAATCTGTACAAGGCAAGGTAGGGAATAATTTTGGCTTGTCTTTGGAGTAGCATTTGACTTATCCTGGTTCACCGTACTCCCATGTACCTTGGTCATCTCTTTCAGCTGCTAATCTACGGAGTATGGACATTCGTAGCCGAGACTCAACTGTCCCCAGCACAATCTTGCACGGAGTACTGGGAAACTGATAATGTAATTTATTGCCATGGCCAATATGCCGAGTTCCAACGACAATACTGCAGGTGCAGAAACTCAACAACATACTCATGGCATGAAACGATATTACCTATAGCAGGTACCTTAGGATATGGAAGTTTCTGAGGCCCGTAGAAGAGAGATGAAGCCCGTGACGCTAGAATCAAGTCGGTAGCGGGGAGCTCCAAAGGCTAGCAGGTACCCTTGTACCTGGGCTGCCCCACTCAGGTAGAATTCTCCCTGTCACCGCTTTTAATTCTGCCATGTCAAGCAAGCCAAATATCCTCCTTATTCAACTTGCATTCTATCGCCTTCACTCCAGGCATCAGCACATCTCGATCACCCACTATGATCGAAGCATCCAAGAAAACGCACGGCTGATTGTGTATTCTGAAAAGCACCCTTGTAGCTTCTGCCAGGAGCCGCCCTTGGACGCTGAGCGCGGCGTCTTCGCGTTTCCCACTGCGCTTTGTTGACGCGGCTATCCAAACCTCTGCTAACTTTAGAGAGCAACAGTTTGCTATGGGCCCGGGAGACAGCGGCCCTGCCGCCCCTACCCGTGCAAACGCATCTGCATCGGCCAAGTTGACAGAGAAAGAAGCGAGAGTTATTGAAGAATACGAGAAGATTGTGCGATTTCGCGATACCATTCTCGCGGGAACCCACCCTACCATCAAGCTCCCACCCGGCCTCAAAGCCTCGTCCCAACCCATCATCAACTACTATACGAGAGCGCCATCAGAGCCCGGCGAAGTAGATGCAAGGTCTGATACTCTACAGCGTTCTGTTGAGAAAACTCAGAGCCAGAACCCTACCTTGCTACAGCCTGTAGCTGATGCCGGCGCCACCGCTCTTGGTTCTCAGCGCCCAAAGCCATTTCCCAACAAGACGACAGAGATCAATCCCATTCTTCTTGAGAAATCTGACGAACTCGTCAGGGCTGAAATCCAGCTGCAGAGGCAAAGAATAGAGCGGTCTCTGAGAGACGATATCGAACAGCGTCGAGTCTCAAAGCAAGTGCAAGCAGAACCCGTCAATGAGTTTGACCTATCCGATGTACTCGCAAAGGCTCTGACTCTTGTTCAAGCCACTACTATACCCTTTGCCGCCAATGGAGGCTTGATTGCTAATCATGAAGCTGCAAGTGATTCTTTTGACGATAACACCTTTTACTCCTCAAAGCATGACACGCCCGAGTCCAATCTGACTTCGCGCTTGCGCCACTCAACTGACGATGCCATGTTGATAGATGGCCGCAGGCCATCTCAGTCAAGCCTTCACCAAAGCACATACTACGGTAATAACACGGCAGCTTCTACGAATAGTTACCATGCCGCAGCCCCCCCCTCTCAGCCCCCGTCCCAGATCCATGCTCCGATGGCGAACGTTGTCGCGAGTAGACCAGAGAAGGTGCGGGTTCCCGGGCTTCATATACTCGCCAACAGTGGAAACCCCCCAGCTACCCAAGGCCCTGCTCCTACAGAACCAGATCAAGTATTGCAAACGGAGTCTCAAGGATCTGAAAACGACGAGTCCCAATATAATCCACACCAACCTCTGCTGCCACGCCCCCCCGTTATTCGGAATCATGACTTGATACCCGTTGCTCCCCAGCCGGCAAAGATAGCGCCTTTGACCGTAGTCAACGTGCAAACACCCATCATCGACTCACCCGTGGCTAAATCTTTTGGTACATCAGCACAGGTGGCGGCACTCCGAAACGAGCCCCTGCCTGCAGTTGCCAGCTCCGATAGCTCTTCACCGGGCGCAAGGGATACAGAGAGGAGAAGAGGAAAGAAGAAGAGAAAGGCTGATCGGCAAGCGCCAGAGGCCGAGGTTGGGCCGCGTATCAAAGTTGAGCCTCGTTCACCGTCACCCTTGACAGCTCCAGCCTACACCAGACCCAGCAAACGCCCGAGACAGTCTCAAGGTTATGCTAATGAATCTGGACAATCTGAGTTGCAATATGCCCAGCCTCCACCGAATGCGTCTTACGAGCAGCCCTTACAGGTGTTTCGAGGTGAACAAGCTCCCGTGGCGTACCAAGAACCCGGCCCCGCGCCATATCATGCTCAGCCCGCCTCGAGCTCTAGTATTCGTGGTGAGCCAGTTGGAGAACTGAATCGGAACGGGGATTTCTCCAGTAATCGTCGTTTGTCTGGTGAGAGCTATGCCCGCCCTTTTCCCTCGGGCGAGGGCTACGTACGTCAGCCTCAGCCTCAGCCTCAACCAAGGGATATGGTATCATATCATCATCATCCACCCCCCAGAGAGATTCATGGCCCTGCCGCAGTGCCGCAGGTCGTTGCATATGGCCCATTCCAAGAGCCCATACGCATCTATCGAGAGCCCATCGATGGACCCCGCGCGAGCGCACGCCCAGAGGGTGAGTCTTTCATAATCCCCCCACGGCCACCAACACGGGTCATGGTTGATTCGTATGGGCGGGAGTTTGTCGAACCTGTGATACACTCTGGCCGGCAATCTGTTGCCCCCCTACCCCGACCCGGAGAGCCGGAAGTGATTTATGAGCGACTGCCACCTCGACTTCCATCAAGCAACATCGGAGATGGGGTTTACAACGAAGGCAACGTGGTATATACCAGGCCACTGTCGGTCTACGATCCAGCAAGAAGAGTATATGTATCAGAGCCAGAGTATCCTTACGACCATAGGGATGGTCAGTATCGTGAACATCAATTACAGCAACGAGGATACATTCAGATTGTGAGGTCTCATGATGGCCGAATCATCGAGGAGCGGCCGGCAGAATACATCTCACGACCGACAAGCTACCGATCATCGCGGTTCGAGCCCGTCCCACCATACATTCGTATGCATAGCACACATCCCGATGCTGCCGGTAGAGAGTATAGCGGGAGTATCCACATGGATGGTCGTCACCCGGAAGGCCCACAGCCCTATGCCAGAGAGTATGCTGGTAGCCCCATGCAGCGAGCTCCAACTGTTCATCGGGAGTACAGCATGCGCCCCCCCGAACGGTACCATGAGCCGCACAGAGGAGCTACGAGGGGGCCGGATGAAATCGCCTTCATTGAGCAGCCTCGTGGAGCATCGCGGGAAATTGTGTACGTGGATGACGTCAGGCGAGAGGTTTATCGTTGAGGGGTGGCTACGGGAGAAGAAGTTGGTCGGAAAGGAGTGGCTATATTCGACCGCTCTGTTTGCATTTGTATAAGTTCTTGTATGACTACATTTCACAACGGCACAAGGGACAAGGGACAAGGGACCAGGGACACGGAACATCGGATTAAGGATTCGGGGATCAGGCGATTGGCACAACAGGCAGGTCGGCATACCATGGAGGGATTGATATTTGCTTCATTTCAGGCGGACGGGAAGTCTAATGGCCTTACCGAGGTCCTGAGTACGGGGTACTTATTCGTGCATTGTACAATGAGCTATTAAGACATGCGGAAATCAATCTGTCAACCATAACCAGGAGGTAGACGTTGCAGTTGCAGAAAATGTATAAGTGGTTTCACAAGTATGGTTGCCCCCTTAAGAAGCAAGCTAAGAGGATTTGAACGTGGACGTAACAGCCAAAGCAGCCCAATCACCCCAACTATAATCAGGCGAATGAGCATATATGTACCTTTTCTGGATCTTCTCAATATTATTGACTCTTGAGGCCGCCTCACTGGGAAGAGTTATGCTTAGTACCTGGCTCTGGATGACATGTGTCGATCATCAAGCATCGACTACGGTTAGCTCCCAGGACAAGATCGACTACGGAGTATGGATGACGCATATGTCACAAACGACAATCATTTTACGGCTGTACGGGTACCGTGAAGCAGGCTTGCTCACAGTCACGGAATACTTTATACAACGGTGTTAGTACTACGAGTCGCACATCATCACGCTCGGCCCAAGCTGAGTATCCATAAACCCTTGAAGAAACTAAGAGATGCTAGGATGCCAACCAGGAAACCCTCGAACTGAGCGATCTTATAGCTTCAAACGGGTCTTGAAAAGGCCAAGACTCCATGATCATGACATCAAAGAGGAGGTAAAAAAAAAAAAAAAAGCGCCTTTCCCCCCTCGGCCCGCATCGGCATCGAACAGTCCGTGGCTGCGTACTTTGGACAGGCCCAAACTCTGTCCCTCTCTCCACCTTCGCCGTCCGTGGCTGCGGCGTTCTGTGGGGATACGAAAAGCTCCCTACCTTACTGTTTCGGCAGATGCGCGCTAGATGTGATGTTGTTTGTCTAGCTACAAGTCTCCGGGCACCGGATAGGACGGGAAACGCATTTCTCGCAGACGGCACGGGCGGAGGTCTTAATGACAGCGGGCTTTTCTTTCGCTGGGTCGCGGACGGCGGCCTCATCCATGGAATAGCACTGGCATGATGTCTGTATGTAGAGCAGGCACTAGCAGTGTTAGTAGCTGCGAGGAGTAGTTTCACGTCAATTCAATTCCTCAGTGTTTGGTCAACGACGATCCCCGTCCACTTTAAAACAAAACCAACCACAATGTACCGGAGCCGCGGAATAGAATGGAGGCCCCAAAATCGGGCTTTCGGCGCCCTGTTGGCGTAGAGCTTAGTGAGCTGAACTGAGGGCGGAGTTGGGCGACAGAATGAGGAAACGCCGACGGATCTCGTGTTTCATGAAGCCTGGAAGAGTACGAGTAGTGTGCCCGGCAGCATTGGGACCAGATGAAACCTACAAAATGCACCCGGTAAGCACGCAGCCTTTCAAAACGCAACCCGCCTTATCTCGAGCCCATCATAGCCCGAGGCCATGGAGACGTTGACGTAGCATACAACCATCATCACTTTGGCCGGCCCGTGTGTGGTCGATTACATGTAGACGAGGCAAGGTGGTAGCCGCCCAAATCAACCAACAGCCTACGATTGGGCCACGGCAGTGCCCCCAGAGCGAAATGCGGGTTGCATTGTCGTGCAACAGTCAATCAAGCTTGAGCGCAGATACGCCCGCATTTCCAGGCGGCCTTTTCTCACAGTGGCGGCGGTAATTTTGAGACACGGCACACATTCCGGTGGGCTAGGCCAGATACAGCGAGGGTGAAAAACAACATACTTATGCGGCAAGGAGCAGAAGAACGGGCCAGCCTCTGTTTTGCAATCCGTGGTGCACGAGTACTGTAGCAAGATGTGTGTATCGTACCAGTACTCGCACAAATTTATGGCGTACAAACAGAGTGCTTGTATGTAGCAAACCGCCTTGGACACCTGGTACGGTGATTGGCAGTCGTGTGGAGGACGGGGCCAAGGATCATGTCCTCTGCATGCCGGACGAGCCTCATGGGTGTGATTTGATTCCCAGACTGCATGCCACCCTCGAGTACATTGTACATGCTTTGGTCCCAGGGGGCTCATTCATCTCATCGAAGACCGAACGGAACATGTCAAATCCCGGGGTGCCGAGATGGCTGATAGCTGTACGTGTCGTATGATGGATAGGTAGGTATAATACGAGAACGGAAACCACGTCTCTAGGAAGACTTGAGGCGATACTGTATCGTGAATAGGAGGATTCGGGGCTTCTTCTCGCCCGCAGAACGAGCCCTCGTATGGTTTGCGCAAAAAAAGCTTGGTTGGTGCAGCGCCCCTCCTCGCACATACTTGTACTGTACTCGTCATGATTTGCTGTTTCTCAGAGCAGGGCCCACTTGATTGTCGCTGAACCTGAAGATCTTGCCGTCGATCCTACGGCCTGTATGGTAAGAGACAAATACCAACCACCCCAACAGCGCTTACATGTCTCGGCGACAGAGGACGAAGAAGGGGATGCAATGGCCGAGAGCTCGCACACGTACAAGTATACTATTGTATACTCCAGCATGAATGCATACCTACCAACAATCTTAACAAAGGGTGCCGATGACCCCTGCCCGCGATGGATGATCTGGGTGATCCAAAGTGGCTACCAGTGGGCGAGGGCTGCGTGTGCGTGTGCCAGTGAGAGCAAGGCCCCAACCAGGCCAGCAGCCAGGCTAGGGGGTGGACACGGTAGTGGAGTCCGGAATCGAGAGCCTTCGTTCCTTGTTGCGTGCAAGCAAAGCGAAGCATGTCGCGAGTGGGTTTGTGGGCTTCGCCTAGCCGAGCATCTGATGTTTCCACAGCTCCGGCAAACACTAGAAGAAAAAGAAGCAGAAAGAAGGGAGAAGGACAAGGAGACGAGGACGAGGATGAAGATGGAGATGGAGACGGAGACGGAGAACAGAAGGCTCATACCTAGTAGCTACAATATCGTGTCATCAAAGGGCAATCGTTCTGGCCACAAGAGGCAGAGCCGAGGCTCCATCTTGAACCAAGGACTATCGGATGATGGTTAGCAGCAAACAGGTGCCAAACGGGTTAGGGGTGCATACAAGTAGTACAGCCAGCCAGGTAAGGTTTCGCAGCGAAGCCATCCTGCTGACCACGGCACCTCGTTGGCCATCTCGAGATTGGCGGTGCTCGGGGCCTTTTTGGATCAGCCAGTAATGGCCACGAGGGTGGACAAGGTTGCCGCGAGCCTGCAGCAAGCTTGTGGTGTTACGACTTGTGCCAATCAAGCACAAACGCGCCTGGTGCTGCTAGGAGCAAGACGAGTTAGTGCTGGCGGCCATGCTGTGAACCGTTTGGATTGCAGAAAAGCTTGATGTGTTGCAAGGGAGAGATTTGGGCGTGTTTTCGGCCACCAGATGCCGCTGAGGCTGTTGGGGATTTACCGTCAAGTACGAGTACTTGTAGTACATGCAAGTTTAAGGTACCTACCTTAGTATTTGCCGTCCATCCATCTCTCGTCCGAGCTTCCCTCCATCGATGCCCACCACATTGAAGGGACAGGAAAGCGTCCATCAATTCTCCCGTGGCCTCGCCCGGCAATCTGCTGTGCTGTGCTGTGCTGTGCTGTGCTGTGCCGTGCTGTGCTGTACAGGTACCGGCACCGACCCCACTGTCAGTTCAGTGTGGGCGTAGTCGGAGTACCAGCGAAATGCGCTGTCCGCTGTCGCGGTACTTGTGCCCGAGCTCACGAGTACTCGTACCTGGCCCACCCCATGGCTTAGTGGCCACCACCTGTAGGAACGCAGTCTTGCGCAGTGCAGTACCGCTGAGACTCGCATCATAAATGCGCTAAGCCAGCCTGAGGGCTTTGCTTGCCGGTACCGGTACCTACGACCCAAGAACTGTCATTGCGGCCTGTCATCGTCCAAAACGCCTGTGCGTCCGGCTCTCTCAGTCCGGATACATGTACCCGAGCTAATGTACAACCATGTTCCTTGCCTGAGTTCTATAAACGACGGAGGACGAGAGTACTTGTACAGTGAGTACACTACTCCCAAGTCACGGCACACTGCATTGTGCTCCCGTCTCTGTGTTTGCCAAACAAAATGGTCTCCTGTATTATTACTTGGACGTTCATATTAGACTGTGCCTGATTATGCGCTTACCCAGAACATGCATGTGCCAAGTGCAACACGGCTGCCGTATCACTGCGTCAAACCGTCTGTGTGGTGTCAATGCATCCCTGGGAGGCTACATGTACTAAACAGGTAGGGTACCTTCAAAGGTAGTACCTGTACATTAGCGTTTGTGGACGTCCAGGTCGGCCATGATATCCCGGCGTTGCTTCTGTGTGTGCTACGCGCAGCTTTGAACTTCTGTATCATGGATGTTGGGAGGGCTCCGTTGGATTCCTCGTTTTGTGCTCCCATCGCGCGATACACTTCGGTTCCTTGCTTTACCGTACCGTAGTACCTAGGTAGACACGGGCTTCTGTTTGGACAAGGTGGAAGGGGGCTTGGGCTTGTGAGCCCTCCCGACTTGAAAAAAAGACCTCTACTTTGTCTAGCGGTCCCAGGCAGATCCCTACGACGGACGGACTCAGCCTGGCTGTGCTGGGTCCCTGTCAGTTACCTCTATCTGGTACTTTTTGGCTTCAACACTACTCCGTACTACTTGATGTATAACCATGGGCCGTTTGTTGTTTACTTTTTTATTTACAATCTGCGGTATATATTGAACTGAGTTTGCTCATCACTGTGCTTGTCGTCGCTTAATTTTTGTTTTTACAGCCCGATTCAAAGGCATCAACCACCTCACCGTTGTATCGTACGCTGGACATCCATTTGATCTCAGAAGGTGTGTTGGGTAGAGGTACACACTGACCTGAACTGACGCCGGTACTTGTCCTGCTGTGCTGCGGTCCAGGCCCCCGAAATCCCACACTACTTAAGCTCGCCTTACTAAAACACCAAATACCCGGCCTCTCTTAACGGCCCAGCGCTCCATACCCTCTTTTCTCTTCTCTGCTAGACCATTCTCTCCTCCACCCTTCTCCAAACCCGCCCATCCCTCTTCTCTGAACTGTGTCAAACCTCTCTCGAGATACCAGGAAAAGGGCCTCTACCACCAGCTCTTGTTCCCTTTCCTTTCTTCTTCTTCGCTTCGGCTTTTTTTTCTTTTTCTTTTTCCTTCTTCTCTCGTCCAGATCGATACCCCCTTGCTTTTCTGATTCCCTTATCTGGCCGCCATTTCCTCTCCTCGTCCCGAAATCGCGATCCGCCTCGACTCGACTCTTCTGGCTTCTCTTCCTCAACCATCATGAATAAGCTGGCCAATATGCGCCACTGGTCCGAGAGGATGAGCCCAAACTTTGGCATGGGTCGACCCAGTGTGCCCATGAACAGCTTGAGCAAAAACGTGTCACAGCCTGGCCTTCCTCTTACTTCTCCCGCCCCCGATGCCACGATACACTACTCGTTCAACGTTCCGTTCGCCTCCGACCTGGTTGGTCCCAACACCGAGGATATTCTGCATGCTACCAACGATGCTGTGCTGAGATGGACGCACCCCGAGGACGCACCGGATGATGTCCACGTCTACGAGCTCCGTGCTCATGCCCAAAATCTTGCAAATCTGCACAAACTCTGCAAGGATCTGTCCACCGGACCTCTGCCTATTGAAGCCCAAGTTGTTACCACTACTCCCAACAACGGCAAAGACCAGCAGATTACCACCATCTGTCTTACGGGATCCCCGGAGCTCGTCAACAAGAGCCGGGAGACCATTCTAAACGAGATCCCCATATCCATGGTATGCCTCAAACGCCAGTTTCCGATTTTTTTTCCTTCTTTTTTCTTTTCTTTTTTTTTTTTTTTTTATGTTGCTGCCGTGTGCTAACGTATGGCCAAACGCAGCGATGCACCATAATTGACATTGAGGGAAGCTTGGTCTGTGACCTGAGCGCTGGTGTGCTCAAAAAGCCTGTCCTCGAGACTTTGGATTCTATTTCCGCCTACTGTGGTGTTGACATCTTTCTGTTGGGCCCCAAACTAACTCCCATGGTGGACGGAATGCTGGGCGATTCCGAGATGCGAATGGATCAAAGATGGAGAGTTGCCATATACGGTGATATCTTGTCGTCCGAGCATGCCAAGGCCCGAGTGCTCATTCAAATCGACTCGTGGGTTCGTATTCCCTGCCACTGCTACATCAATTCTGTGTGCTACGTCTTCTAACACGACTTAGCTTGGTCGAATGGTGGATGTGGCGAGGATCGAGCTGTCGCTTCACCAGCTAGTCTGTGGACGACATCGCAAAAACATCAAGATGATTGAATCGTCGACTGGCACGGCCATCTATTTCCCTCCCATGTTCTCGCAAATGTACCGGTATTGCCCACAGGGTGCGAACCGGCGCGACCCTGCAGAGATCTACATCACCGGAGAGTCCCCCCAAGCCATTGAGATGGCTAAGCAGAAGCTGCACGAGACAGTCTCTCGCATTCGCCTGTTCGTCAAAGACGTCACCATTCCGGCCGCAAAGCTGGACAACATTCTATTGGGCCGCCTGGACAAAGTTCGTAAGATCCTCGAAGCCAACGGAACGTACATTATGCTCCCCCCTCTAGCATGCCAGCGTACAACGGTCCGAGTCCACGGAAGCGAAGGCCTGCCTGTTGAGCGAACTGTCCGGGAGCTCATGTCACTGGCTGGCCAGTTTTATGGCGCCGGGTGGTACGTTCAGCAGCCGGATGCCAGAAATGTTCCTACCCCCGCAGAAATCAATGACATGCTCGCCGATATCTGCGCCCACTCTGATGCCGAGGTGTCCTTTGACAAGGCATCCTTTACCGTGACTGGTGCCGATGATTCCGTAAAGTCTGCCTTGGCAGTCATCTCCGAGCTGAAGCTTGCAACTCTGTCTCAGTATCAAATTCGTGTCAAGATTGAGCTGGCGAATGAGCACAAGGAATTTGTCAGTGGTAAAAAGAACGGCAAAATCAACAAAATCATGGGACAGAGTACGCTACCCCCCCTTGCCCTTACGAATTCGTTTGTCAATATGAAACTAACACTTAGGCAGGCAATGTTCAGATCATTTTTGACGGCTTCAACGAATACAACTTCAACATCGACGTCATGGCTGCCACCTACGATTCCATGAAGCAAGGTCTGACCTTGGTTGAACAGGAGATGCCAGCATCCATCTCTTTCCACGTCCCCGATCAGTATCACAAGCGTATAATTGGCATTGGCGGACAGCACATCCAGCGTATCATGAAGAAGCATTCAGTCTTTGTCAAATTCTCCAACGCTATGGATAGAGGTGAGCAAAAGCAGCCGAATGACCACTCTTGCACAACCAGCAGAGAGTGCTGACAGTAAAACTTAGGGGGCATGGGGCGTGAAGATGACGACATCAAAGTCGATAATGTCATTTGCCGTACGCCGGCACGTAATGCCCAAAATCTTGATGCTGTCAAGAATGAGATTCTCGAAATGGTCGACCGAGCTGTAGGTAATCCTGGAAAGAGTTTTGGGCGGCCAACCTTTGACTAACACAAAACCTACAATAGGATTCCGAGTATACTTCTCAGATTGTTAGTGTTGATCGGTTGTACCATCGCGAATTGATTGCTCGTCTTTCGGAAATCGACGAGCTTGAACAGAAGTACAACTGCAAGATCAACTTTCCTAGCACTGAACAAGCGAGCGACGAAGTCACTGTCACTGGTCCACAGTGGCAGGTGCCTCACTGCGTTGACGAGTTTCTTGGCATGGTCCCGGATAGACACGAGTTGGTGCTTGCTCGCAGCCCGAAATTGGTCAAGTTTCTGGAGTCCCCCGAGTTCGCGCATGATCTTGTCCCCAAGCTGAAGAGTCAGTATGAGGTGGAGGTCACCGTTCACCAGAACCCTGATGAGATTACTGAGGATGGTGCTCCCACTGCTACTCTCGTCTGGGGCTTCACGCGCAATAATGCGGGAGGTCTCCGAGACGCGATTGACTTCTTGCTTGCGCAGTTTGCCACTGCCAATGTCGAAGCCAACATCGTCAAGGGCTCCATTCCCCGCCCCAAATCTGACTCGTTTGAAGATACGCTTCAGTACTTTGACTCGAAGCTGCTCCAGCACGCGCCCGCCTCGGCAGCCAGCGATTCCCCCATCAAGAATGCCTTCAATGCGGACATTGCCCGAGAACGCAGCAGTATCCTTGATCGGCTCAGGAAACCCGGAAGCATGACGTCCATCTCTTCGTTCCTGGACCGCAGAAAGAACAGCTCACACTCGGCCGCGGGCAGCTTCTTCAAGGGCTCTGCCAATGTGTCCAAATCGTCGCTCATCTCGATCGAGTCCACCCGCAGCTTCAATGCCGACCGAAACCCTTGGAACGACAGCGGCGTGAACCTGGCTGACGACGAGAACCCCTGGGCCCGCCCCATCAGCAACCACCACTTCGAAAGCAAGTTGACCATCCCCCTTCCAAAAGACATCATCGCTTCACGTCACACTACCCGCGCGTCTGGTGATAGCGGGAGACCTTCTACTTCACACTCTATGAATTCAGGATACCCCGCCCCCATTGGGCCTTTCCGTTAGACTTTGCCGAATTAGACCCCTTTACATGCGAATACCCCCCCGGCTGGATATACCCCGGAGCGTCCAAAATTGCATCATATCCAGGCTTTGATTCGCCGGAGATGTTGGCGCGTTCCTCTTTTCATCCTTTTTATTGTTTTTGCTTGTTGCGCTGTTTCCTCTTGTCGTTTTTCGTTTCGTGTCTTTGATTTCCCATCTTTGTGTGCCTTCTTTCTGCTATTCCCTCCTTCTTTTGCCGTTGATCGCCATCTGTTTTATGAGTCATTGCTCGCTTATTGAAATTTCGACAATGTCAGTCTTGATGACCGGCATTCACCTTTTTATACCCATTTGAACGTCCACGACGTCGAAGATAAAAATTGCGAAGAAAATACCCCCGCGCGCTGGAGCTGAAAGAATTTAGTTGCAAGATTGATGATTTTGATGCATGGTGGAGTCGTGCCAAGGGGCAGCATCGACGAAAGAAAAAAAAAAGAGTAGATGTTTTTTTTTTGGACAGGCGAGTGTGTCAACACGCGCGGCACAGCGAAGAGATGTGTGTGTGCGTGTGCGTGTGCGTTTTACTTTCACATGGAGGGGATCACCAGATCATCCCTCTTGTCCAAGACGGGAATCCTGGTGGCCCCCTATTTTTAACATTGTTTTTTCTTAGTTGTGGAAAAAGGGGGGGAGGGCACAAAACGTGCCTTTTTCTACACATTGTACGGTTATGATCTGTCGAATGGAAAGACGCATGATACCCATGGCACAAAAGCGGTTATGCCCAATCACACATATGGTCACCTTGACGCAGTATCTGACTGAAGAAAGTTTGGTGTCTATTGATCTCATGAAAACAAAAAACAAAAGTCCCATTGCTGTGATGTGTCAACTGCCTTACCGTGCCCCATGATAATTCGTATTAAATCCTGAAGATGATAACATTGAGTGAGTCTGGCTTGTAGATTGAAAACAATTCAGCACTGCCTTTTATACATATTGAGAGTATCTTGCGTAAAACATCCATCTTACAGCCCTTCCCGTATCATATCGTGTGTAAATCATACATGTTCCATAGTTTCTCTTCCCGAACAACCCATTGAACTCCAAAATATGCAACATTTCTTTCGATGACAGAAAATCGACCGCAGAAATGGGGGCGCTCAAGCTGATAGCGGCCCGACTCTGACGTACTCCCTGTCCTGCCTCGCATCAAGGGTATATCTCGTCTTCTCCCGCCTCCGCTGCTCCGCCTCCATCCGCGCAAACTGCCCGCGCGCCCCGTGTTTCAGCTTGGTGATCATGTCGGCCGCCTTGCCCTTTGTCAGCTCCTTCGAGGTCAGGGGCTTGCTCTTCCCGCGGAGCTTGTTGATGTAGTCCACCTGGCCCTGCGTCGGGGGCAGCCTTCGCCAGGACTGGTGCCGGTGGATGAAGGTGTGGGGGAACGCGCTGGCGGCGTAGCTGTCGGCCCCGTGGACCGCGTCGTTGAAGGTGGCGGCCTTGAGGATCTCGCGCGGGGCGGCATAGGGGGACTTTGCTGCTATGCCGGCAGGGAGCGCGCGGATTTCGAGCGCGCGGTATGTGGGCTCCGAGGCGCCCTTTTTCTCGGGGAGCCTCTCGATCCGGATGTAGGATCCGCTGGGCGCGGAGAGGACGAAGCGCTCTGGGCCGACTTGGACCCATGCGTACTGGCTGATGGCGCGGATGTGTCTCTCGCCAGAGGTGTCGGCGATGAGATCCAAGACGGAGGAGTAATCGGTAAAGGTCACTGCTGGGGAAGAGGTTTGGCTGGCGCCTGAGGAGTTTTCCTGTTGTTCGGCCTCTGCTGCTTTCTCGTCCTTGATCTTCCTCATGTCGTCGACCGAGGCCTTTTCGACCAACTCGTTCGGGTCAAGGCCAAATAGCGTTGGCGTTGTGACTATGCCGGTCTCAAGACTGGAGACCATGTCGATGATGTGGCAATTCTTCTTGTCCGGATGGAGCCTCATGCCCCTGCCAATCATTTGCACCAGTAAATTGCGCGATCTCGTTGGCCTGGCCAGCACGATGCAGTCGATATTGGGGATATCGGTGCCCTCAGTAAAGACGCCGCAATTGACAAGCACGGGGAACTCGCGCTTCTTGAAAGACTCGAGAATGGCGCTTCTCTCAATCTTGGGCGTGTCGCCGGTGACGTATCTGGCGTCAAAGCCGTGTTCGCGGAATTTCTGTGTCAGGCCCGAGACGTGTGCTAGGTCGACGCAGAAAACCAGGGTCGACTTGCGGTCCGGGGCTTTGGCCATCCAGCTGCGGACCGTGATGTCGTTGATGATGTCGGTGTTGACGACCTTGGAGAGCTCTCCCGTTTGAAAGTCGCCAAATGCGCCGCTCTTGACTTTGGATAAGTTGGCAGATGACTCGACTGTCGTAAAGACAACATCCGAGAGCCACTTGTCTGAGATCATGTCCACGTAGTCCTTGTGGTAGACAATCTCGTCAATGGCGGCTCCGAGTTTGACACCATCAAAACGAGAAAAGGTAGCTGATACTCCTATTAGGGTGGGCGAGTTGTATCTCTTCTCGTCGAGACCAAAGTGCTTCAGCGTCCTCAGATAGCCTGGCGCGACAATGTGATGGGCCTCGTCAACAAGGACAAGCTTGTACTTTGAAGGGTCATACTTGTCCAGGCGGCCCTTTGAGGTTATGCTCTGGACGCTTGCAATGGTAATATCGGCCATGCCAGAGGCATGCAGAGAGCCCATTTCAATCTCAATCCTCTTATCCGGATACGCAAGCTGACAGTGCTTAGCAGCCTGTTCAACCAACTCACGACGGTGGGCCAGGATGAGGGTCTGGTTAGCATCTTTGACGCGATCGTGGACCCTGTCTATGAGCTGAGTAAAGATGACCTTTCAGCAGTGAAGTTAGCTCCACCGTGTCATAAGAAGAATAGGATACAGGATGTGAGAGGAGTCATTTACTGTCTTGCCACTACCGGTGGCTAATGATATGCCAACTCGCTTGTGCCCTCGCTTCAGGGCCAAGACTACGGATTTGATGCATTCTTCTTGATAGTCTCGGAGCTTCAGCTTATTGCTGAGAGCAGCAGCGGCATATTTCCTGAGCTGGTTGGCCTTGCTCCAACCTGAGGGGACGCCAGTCCCAGCATCAGGCCGGAAGAGACGTCTCACGACGGTTTGTAGCATTGCACATGGCAATGCCGTCCGGGATGGATTGCACTCGTCTATGTCTTGAATGAAAATCCTAGTCTAAGTCTAGCAGAAAAGATGCAGAGATTTGGTGTAAGTTGCCTTATGTAACCTTTCAGCCACTGTGGCGTCGATGAACAGCCAGCACGGGTAATGCTGTCCGGATGCCTGTGGATGTGGCTGAGTCAGCTGCGGAAAGATGCCGCGAATGATTTTATATCTGCAGCTTTGTGGCTTTCAACTTTTTTCATGTCTTCAAGGTACATCAGAAATGATACCAGATTCGAAGCTGATTTCTCCCTAGACTTGATCTGTGGTCCCGATTCGGTCACTGCTACAATGTTCTCTCCTCTCATTGCAATCTTCAACGCCCCAGTGACCGAACCATGGACCAAGATTCCGACTGCTCATATGAAGAACAAGATGCTGCCGTCATCTCACCACCGCGGATCAAAACAGAGAGCCCTTCCAAAGAGATCGCGGAAGCTGACTTGAGCACTGGATATCGAGGGCATAGAGAGCCGTACAGTGAAGAGAGTGACTATCTCGAAGAAGACGACGACGACAGCGCTTCATCAGCAGCAGAAAGTCAGGAGCTGCGATCGCCTTTAAAGAGGCCGTTGGATGATACGACCGCGATATATAGACCGTTCAAACGACAGAGAGCCGAGCTCAACTTTGGCTATCTAGAGCTTCTCAACAAGGAGATCCAGGATGCTGCACAGCAGAGCTCTTTTGGCGACCAAGAGTTGCCTATCGCCGGTGAAATTGGCTTCACCTACTGGTCAGCGCCAGAGAAGCTGAAATTTTTCGAAGCCGTAGCACGCCTCGGGAAACATGACTTGCCTGGTATCGCCGCCAAGATTGGGAGCAAAGGCGTCGCCGAAGTCAGCCACTATCTGCACCACCTTCAAACGGCCTGTGATTTGAGGCAGCAGCAAGGGACTCGTTCCATTTTGGAATTTGCAGAGTATCCTGCTGCCCTGGAGATCAGCCAGCAGTGCTGCCATGCCCAAGAAGAAGCTGCCGACGAGATTTCGCTCAAGCAAGAAGCGCGCGAAGAGTTGCGGGAGCAGAATCGGTGGGGAGATGTATGGAACATCACCCCAAAGGTTGCCAAGAAACTTGGCAGGGATGTTCATGGACAGGATGCAAACCTCTCCGATACGCCCCAGTTTGCTCAACTCTTTCATGTGTCCAGATGGCTGGAGCTTTCGGCGCGCATGTTTATGAACTCTTCAGTTCCAGGCAACAACTGGGACTCGGTTGATGAAACCCCCCCGTCGATGTGGGCTACAACGTTTGACGACTTTCACTCATTAGCCGTATCAGTCACTCGGAGGCTTGTTCAGACGACACTCTTCATGGCCATGTCCAGGATTAGAGCGAAAAACTCGACGGGAATTAATGTCAGGGCCATGGTACAACTGCAGGATGCCGAAGCAGCCATCTCGTCCTTGAAGATGGCTAGCAAGTTGAATGAGATATGGATCAATAGTGCCCGAAGATTACGGCTCGATGTTTACGAAGATCCTCCCGAAAGAGATGAGGAATTCGAAGAGGAGCGTATGTCTTATGAAGAAGTGGAACAGGCCCTGTCTGGTGAGGGAGCAGCTGGGCCACGACAGCGGACGCACCCAGATGCCCCCTTTTCGACCCAGCACAGCGTTGAGAGTGAAGAAGATACTTCTTCAGATGATCATCTTTCCGATTCGAGCAGATCGCCCTCACCCACTAACGAGGAAGAGCAACAAATCAACATGGAGGCAATGGAAGTGCTGGGGCATTCAGTTTTGGACATCCGGACTGATAAGGCTACAAAGAAGGCTCTCA